ACTAAGGTCTTATAAGACTTAGGATAGGGATATAGAGATAGGTAACGATCTAGGTCGCTAAGGGTAGCTTCCTAGAGGGAAGGGATAATTATTAGGACTTAGCCTTAGATAGGACCCGACCTATATATACCTTAGCTAATAGGGTTAGGAGGTAACGTGAAGGGTAGTAAATAGTTACGTGCTAGATAGATTAGTGTCTCTTTATATATATACTCTCGGATTCCTACCGAAAGGGTTCGGTAGTAATTCGTTCTATGATAGAATACACCCTATTATTCTATCTTACTACACTACTATCCAATAACCCTATTCTTACATATAGTTAAGACGTTTTATAGGGTATAGAAGGAGGGCAAGCGAGTATATATACATCTTATTAAATATTATATAGTATTTATTAAATATATAGAAGCTAACGTTAATTACGTGTAGAAAGGTATACTTACCTTATATTATAGCACGTTCCTATAGAAATAGATACTTAGTATTACTATAAAATAAGGTAAGAGACTTAGATACCTTTTTAGAGTTATAATAGTTTAGAAGAATATCTATTATTAACTATACTATATTAAAGGATACTCTATCGCCTTTATAGAGCTTTATAGTAGTATAAAAGTAGGATAGGAAGTAGTAAGTATCCTTGAGTAGCTTATAATCCTTCTTATTTAGGAAGTCCTTATAAAGATTATTATTATAAGCTACGGTATACTAGCTAATAGCCTTCTTTATACGAGGCTTAAGTACGATGTTAATCGTTCTATACTAGAAGTTCTATTAAGTAATATTCTCTTAAGGAATAGTACGCCTAGCCTACTCTATAAAGCTATTAAATTATTATATACTTCGCCGAATATAGACTTTAATATTATATAGCTTACTAATAGTACCTTATTATTACTAGCCCTACTTAATTATCTTCTATAAGTCTAGTTTTCGAAGAAATTATATGAAGTCTAGGTCATCTACTATAGATTAGTTAATTATAGAGTCTATAGCTTTATTACTATCCGTAAATAGGAACGCCTAATAGGTAAGGTTAATAATATAACTAAGGCAGCGAATTTAATAGGCTTAAGGGTCCTATAGTAGAGTTTTAGAGGTAGATTTAACTATAGAGTCTATAATATTTAAGGTTAAAGATACTATCGGCGGCTAAACCTCGGTTAAGGCCTTAGCGACGTATTTAAGTATCTTATTATTTAAAGACGCGTTATTAGATATTAAGTATCCCACCTTATCTATAACCTTATATTCCTTTATTACCTCTAGGAAGGCCTCTAATTACTCTCTACCGCTATAATAACCGTATATTTCTAGTAGCGTAAGTAAGGCCTTATAGAGCTTACCCTTAGTAAGGTTAATAAAGTATATAATAATAGCTAAAAGCGACTTCTTATTCGGTAACGTCTATAAATTATATAAATAATAGATACTATATAGGTATTCTATTAGGACTTACTTAAGGCGCCTCTTATAGATATCGTAAGAGAAGTTAAGGAGCTTTAGTATAGCGCTTCTTAACTTAAGGATAAGGTTTTCGGTCTACGGATTAATTACAAGGAATAGAGTCTTTAGTTCTAGCTAGTCTACTACCGTATAGGGTAAGTTCTAGATAATAATTAGCTAGATAAAGGCTTCCTAAAAGGTATCTTAATTAATAACCTTATTTAGAACCTTAGTAGTAGATAGTTATAATACCTTAGAGGCACGCTCCTTTATCCGCGTAAAACCAGCCTCTAATAGCTTTAATAATCACAACTTCTTTACTACTATACTATCTAGAAATATACCATATTTCTTTAATAGATAAGTCTCTACGGCACTAGTACTTATAATACCTTTCTAATAGCCTTTAATATTATAGTACTAGATCTTATTTTTACCTCTTATAATAGGCTTATTCTAGATAGCCTCACGGTAATAATCCTATACTAGATAAATATACTTACGCTTACGCTTACTATTAAGAGAAGGTAGAGAAGATAAGGATTACTATTTACTAATATTATTATTACTACTTATAAAGAGTAAGTTATAGGCTATTATAAAGAGATAAGGAGATAAGGAGATAAGGAGATAAGGAGATAAGGAGATAAGGAGATAAGGAGATAAGGAGATAAGAAGGTAAGTTTAAGATATATATACTATAACACCCTAATAGATTACTATACGGATTTAGTAATAAACTAATAAAGGGATATTACTATAATACGCCGTTTATAATAGGATATAGTCTCCCTTACTTTATCTATATTTATTATTATCCATGATATAGATAAAATACTATTTTTAGTATTTATATAAGGAATAACCTAGTAAATGGCGTAAGTTATATAGTAAGAATATAACTCTATAAATAATATATATATCTATAATATTATAGAGAAGAATAAGCACTAAAAACGCGTAATTCTATATAGTTTTTAGAGTTTATATAGCGATTTACTAATAAATATTATAGGCGTTATTAGCTATATATCCTACCTTAGATATATATATATTTACCCTATACGGACGTATAGATAAGACTCTACGGGTACGGTATAATGGGGATAGATTACTTATCCCGTAAAACCTTATCCGTACGGGGTACGGAGTACATTACTAGCTAGCGCTAAGATATAAAATGTAATTAGAGGAGACGGAAGATTACCTAGATTGGGAATCGTACATAGATCTTGATAAAGAAGAGGCAGTCGTGACTCCGGACAGCTATGGTAGGTTTTCCGATCTTTATATTAAAATGTAGATCGTTATTAATAAGGTGTTAGTCTTCTTTACCCTTGCAAGCATCTTATATAGGTAACATGGTATTGTGCTTTTAGAGGAGGATTTGGAGGACAGGCGCCTACTAACGCGTCTTCAACGATGAAATTCGAATTCCTAGTAATTAAAATTTCTTTGTTAGTAGTTAAAGAGAAAGAGGACTAGCCTCTTTAGATTTATTATATCTATTATACATACGAAACTATACTAATTAGATTCTTATATAACCAATCTTAAGTAGAAGCACCTAGCTTGATACTTTATTATGAATAAGCTCTAGCGAAAAATAAGGTCTATCCCTACTCTACATGCGCGATATAATATCTTTTCCCTACCGAGCCGGGATTATCTAGTCAAGTTCTATGACGTGGCCGTGCACGCTCTTAACGCTTTGTAGTAACTCCGTACGCAGCTTAAAATATAGGTATAACTCATTAATACTACGGAATATAGATAAATGTATATAAGAGATAGTTATAGTATTACCTTTATCTAATAAGAAACTATATAATCTTCTCTATAGCTACTATATTTTATAGAATTTTAAAGTGATAATAGAATTAACATATGTAGAAAAGTAAGGGACGTAGTAATATACTAGTACTAAAAATCTTAGCTCTCGGTGGAAAAAGTTTTCCACTAGTGATTAGATTCTACGGAGATACTAGACCTACTTTTTTTTCTACGTTAGATGTTATAGATATAGATATATATATATAGATCATACAGCCTATTCTTGCGCGATATAGAATTTTATAGTGACATGCCAAGTCATTCTTCTCGTTAGGACTCGCCTTATATTAATTAACTACTCATTCTTCCTCTTGCCTCGCCTCCTTCCTCTATATCTTATCTTTTAGCATTTCTCTTATTCGCCAATCTTTCACGCTAGTGTCAAGCTAGTAGCGAGAATTCCTAAAAAAAAAAAAAATATGTACTTTTCGTTAAGCACGACACTCTCCCTTGTACACTCTCTCCTTATCCTCGTCCTACTCTTTGATACTCCTCTGGCGGCGAGGGAGAGGCAGCGACTTCCGGTCCCGGACGATCGCCTACGAACTCTAGCGACGGTAGCGGCATCACAGCCGGGGACATTTATTATAAGAGAAACGGAGACGTAATTGAGGTCATTGAGTGTATTCTGTAAGTGTGTAGAGAACTGAGTTCTGGGAGACAGAGTCGAAGCTATTTAACCGTTTAGACACTAGTCCCGTTTAGGAAGCAGTGTCTCTCACTCAAAGTGCCTTCCGACAACAACATTAACTTATGCCGTGCACCCAACGTGCGATAACTATCCGATGCGTCGAAATCTAGACGAAGCTCTAGGAATGGCTAGGCTAGCGTATGAAGGTCTACAAAACTTTGAGATGCTACCAGCGCACCTTAAGTTTGGCTATCGAATACTATTCCAACGCCTAGAACGTGGCCAACAGAATCCGACAGAAGAATTAAACATAGTCACCCGAACAATGAGAAAGATCGCCACCTTGACAGAGACCAGCAGACCGGCAAGCGCAGCTATGATCATCTTCTGCGATGATTCCCGCTGGGAACGGGAGGGCAATCGTGTCAATGTCGATGTCCATCGTACGCGATGGAAGCCTGACCGCGATTCCGATGAGCGAGTGTGGGTCGATAGCGTGTTAGGAACGAGATGGGCTGAAACACCATATTGCCGTCAGCCCTTCGATGGAGAACTAGAAAACCCCTACATGTACTACTACCCCTCGCCGCCTAATAATCCCGATCAGGTCGTAGTCTCATTCTGCGGGAATCAATGGCCCGAGAACAGCTGGGACCTTATCCACGACGGAGATCTCAGTATGCCTATTGATGCGCTAACTATGCATAATCTCCGTGGCACCTTTCTAAGTCCCGAACTCCTCTCAATGTTTTTGAATTCGAACCTTTTTAGTGGTAGGTCCAAGTGTTCCGCGCTCTTCTCCTGGGCATATTTGTCACAGTCCTACGAGTACTAATAGAACAATAGATGAGATGAGGGGAGATAGTCTTGACTGGCCCCAAGTTATACAAGTGAGGCGCCAACAGCAAATTCGCAGTAGAGAGAACTATAGTCAGTCTTAAAGATCGTAAAAAGTGCTATGGTACAATCACTAATGCTATATAGTATTTTTTGCCATTCAGTTTCTCGTAGACCACATGGGCTTAATGCTTGAGCCGGTACCAGATGGTGTCCTAAATGGGAAAGTCATATGGAAACCGACGTGAGCATATACAATCGGATACAATCCAAGGTCCCAGATGAGGATTGTGTGATTAGTCACCCTAAAAGTAAGGATTGAGCTTGAAATCTATACCAAGGGATTGAGATTGTACCGTCTTGGCAATCATTTTGAGGCGTGGATTGAGCTTGTATTCTCTATTGAAATTTTGGCCCAGATTGAGATTGCGCAGATTCAGATTGTATATGCCCATCTCTGCATGGAAATAAGCGATAGGAAAGGAGAGAATCAGAGGTGGTAACGAGCGAGGGGCGACTAGGGGCATGCGAAGGAACTCAAAGGACAAAAGTAACAATAAAAAGGCTCATAGCTTAAGGAGAGCTATTAATCTAAAGATGATACAGGAATTGTATTTTTAGAATGATAATTCGAGACTTGCGCGATTTGTACTTTTGTAGTCACACTATAGGTATATAAACAACCTGTATATTCGCATTAATCCTGTAGTTAGCATTAACCTTACGATACACTTCTCTCTACACACTATGCTCTTACTTATACACCTGCTCGTACTTCTTATAGTACACTTCACTCCCTCGCTGGCAGACCATGACTATGCCTTTCATCCCTCATGCGCTCGTTATCCTTCAATTCGTGCCCATGCCCAGGAAACTATAAGAATAGCCTCACTAGTCTTCGAGACTGTGCAGGATATAGACAATCTTGGTATCGACGATCTGCGCATCATGTATCAGATGACTTTTGAACCAGCACCTCATGATATCGTACTTGTTGCAGAGACTAAACACGCTCTTCTCCAAATGATGCACACAATTGAGGAGTATACAGAGCTGCAAAGTGGGGACAACGCATTCGACTGGCGAAGCGCAGAGATTCTCATCTTCTGCGATGATGACCGCTGGGTACCGATGCGGGACCGTACCGAATTTCCCTCTGGTATCAACTTCCACGGTCACCCTCCCCCTGGGCTACGAAACTCTATGCAGGACCCCGAAAATGTGCTATGGGTTGATCGTGTGATTGGTACGGAGATAAGGGGTCCACCGGGGTGTCTTAGAGGGGGAATGCATTTCAGCACGTACAAACAGCATAATAGCAATCCCCAGAGCGTCACAGCCTCTTGGTGCTCAGGGGGCTTGCCCTCAGAGTCCTATGGTCTTATCCTCGGTCATGATCATAACAATGATTACTTTAGGGAAGATCCGGTCGGATATTTGACCAACCTATCTATAAGTCCTTCATTACTAGGTATTTTTCTAAGCGCGCCGCGTGTCCAGCGTAAGTTCTTCGACATTTCTCTTTCTTTTTATAGACATGCTTATAGCGGTACTACGCATACTAATAGAGTAATAGGAGTCCGCAGGGCCAGCAGTCGGTGGCTATATAGTCATAGGGGCCGTCCCACTGCGGTACCCTTGGACCCTAACGGTATTCGTAGGTCTTTAGTATTCCAAACAGGCGAGCAATTATTAACGTCATACAGTATCCTTTGCCATTTTGGTCCTTGTTTTTCAGCTACACACTGAAGCTTCAAGGCCTAACTAATTTAATCCGTTCGAGTCGTAGTACGGAACGATCATCTATTACATCCTTAGAGATCTATGGCAAGAGGTGGTTACGTGGATGGAAACAGGGAAAAAGTATATTCTTAGAAAGAGAAAGTAGACTTTCTCAGGTGCGGTTACATGAGCGCAATATGCTCGACACTTTACTCTACTAAGAGGCTCAGCCTATCGTTCGTGTATCATGTGACAGATTTAAGCAATGCATATAGCAGCTATAGTGTATTACAATAACTTTAGCTTACATCCTTAGACATAGGCATATACAATCCGAATTCATACAAGCTCAATATGGGCTAAACTTTGAATAGAGAATATAAGCTTGATCTACGCCTTATATGATTACTAAGACGGTGTAACCTGAATCTATACATTGAGGGTAATTAACAACATAATTTCGATATAGACCTTCGGCTCTTACGTAACGATATATGCCGCAATATAATTTTGAATCTAAAGATAGTATAGATTTCATATTTTTAGAATGAGGAGCTGAGATTTGCGCGATTTGCACGCTCCATGCTTTCGTAGTAACACTTTGATAGATTAGATATTTAACTGACCTCTATGCTAGAATCAAGTGCGTATTAGACTTAACATGATATAACCCTCCCCAAGTACAATGCTCTCTCCTATATACCGTCTCGCGCTTCTCACAACGCTCTTTACTCCTTCTCTGGCGGCGCTCTATTATGCCTTTGATCCAGTATCGTGCGCTGAGTATCCTTCGCTAAGTGATCATGCCACGGAAGCTAAAACTATGGCAAGGCTAGCCCTCGAGAGCCTGCAATCAGTACATGCCTGGAGCAGAGATAGCGACCACAAGCGGCTGTTTCGGCAACTGTTCGGACTCGATCGCAATTATGTGGAGATCCAAATGATCAGAGGCTCACTTGCGGATTTCTTTTGGATGCTTTCGACGCTTCCAGAGGCGTTCGGCACAAGGGCTAGAATCTTGTCAATGGCAGACACAATCATCTTCTGCAATGATGATCGCTGGCAGCAGCTACCGGACCGTCCCGAATCTCCCCCTGAGCTACGCAACTCTGAGCTGCCGGTTAACCAACGAATGTGGTTTGATACTGTAGTCCGTATGAGGACGAGGGGCACGCCAGGTTGTCTTCAGGAAGGAATGGATGACGTGTTCTACCCAAGCTCGATCAGGTGTTATGCGTGTACTCAATTCTCATGGTGTGGAAATCGATGGCCAACAGACTCATACCGTCTCATCTCGAACCCTGATAACGGTGCATCCATCCGCGGTTCAAGGATCAAAGACATCACCGGAAATTATCTAAGTATTGTGTTTCTACGTATGCTTATACGCTCGCCGCGCATGCAGAGTAAGTTCATTAGCATTCCTTTCCTTCTTATAGTCATGCTTACGATGGTGCTGTGCGTACTAACAGAGTAATAGTGGTTTTTCACGGGGCGGACGCGGCAATACGCGATCAGTCTAGTAACTCAGGACCCTACAATAGGAAACGTCTTTGTAAGTTTTTAGTAACCTAAGAAGGCTTACCAAACAAGTATTGATCTCATACAGTGATGTATGCCGTGGGGGTCTATCTTAATCACCTAGGCTACAGGTTTGAATGGGATTCTCGTGGTACAACGAATTACCGGATAGTAGGGGCACCTTGAGCTCGAGACTTGAAGACGCATTGCAGGAAGCAATAATGCGCATGAAGACGGAGGAAGAAAGTATACTCTCTCGGGGGGACAGTATAATTACTGGGGCACGGTTGCAGAGGACATTGAGATAAACAGACCATGATCTCCAAGGGTGACAGGTTGGTTGAGATCATTACATAAACTTATCCACTGTTCCTTCTGGACGGGTGTATGTTTGCCTTCGACACAGGCGCAATACGATACGACTCTGTGCTCTAATGAGAGCTTAACCTTGCCGTTCGTGCATTTGGCTTGACTCAAACGGCTTTAGCTGTTATAAATGTGTTCCGAGACGCACACATCGCCCTAAAGTGATATGCTTGTATTCAGAGTTCCTAACAATCAGTTCAGTTCAACTTTGGGCCTCTAGTTGAACTGGACTGAGTCAATTCTGGAGAGGCAGAATTGAAGTTGGACTGATTATTAGGAACTCTGCTTGTATTGATGTTGGAAGAAGTGCCAAAGTCGGCCGTAAGATACGAATACTATTATGTGCTGGTCTATAAGAATCAGACAGGCAGCACAGATCTACAAATAGTGCAAGGTTCGTTATGATCGATGTACCTTGTCCATAAAAAGCTGTACACAACTCCTGAAAGAGGTATAGCGCTAAATATTGCATGTGATGTCACTGTGGGGAACGTGACTATACATAGATGTGTGATATGTTTATAATTCCAACATTAGCGAACCAGAGAGCAAGGAGTGCTTTAAATTTCGGCCATTATGTCAAAAATAGCGAGCAACCCGATCGAAGTGCGCGAGCAGTATTTCTGGCGTGGCGACAAACGAGTGGGTCACAAGCTCTCTCTTCAATTAAGAGATGCGAGGCTAACAAGTGAAGCAAAGTTCCTTATCCGTGGCATCGTGTACCACCACAATGTCACCAGGAACCAGGGAAGAGTGGCCGTGACAGAGCCAAACGATCCTATCGCAGACGACCGACTTGACAGGCTAGAATCCGATATCACCATGTTCAAGGAACTGGGCGTGAACACCATCTACGTTTGTCAGTAAATTCCAAGACCCCGTAGAAAACATAGATCTTTGACTGTCAAGACTGGATCGATGCTACTAAAGAACACGCCAAGGCTATGAGACTGCTCGAAGAAGCGGGCATCTATGTTATTTGCGTAGGTTCCCATCCTGAAGATCCGGTGCGATAGCTGAAAGTCTGAGAGACACTGGCAACAAATGAAATCAGTATTTCACGGATAGATCCAGTTGGCTCCTATACCGCTGCTCTTATGCGACATTTCTTCGAGACGCTCGACGAGATGGCCAAGTTTCCCAACACCCTTGGCGTGATGGTTGCATATGAGTTGATCAACGACACTCAAAGTATGAAATGCGCACCTGTCTTGAAAGCAGCCGTGAAAGACCTGAAAAAGTATATGAGATTCCAAAGTGAGTCTACTGGGCAGAGGGTCCTTCCGATTGGATACGATGCATCGTCAGCACGTTTGCCACTATTTGAGACGTTATATTACTTGTCATGTGGCGACAGTGATGCTCGGATTGACTTTGTGTCTGTAAGTCGTGCATGTAGAGTGATGTCTTGAGATTATCTCTGACACGTTGACAGTGCAAGGGGTACGAGTGGGTTGGGAGTAAGTCCAGCATCAAAATCAGCGGATGGCAGACACTGGTGAGAGCATAGTTTGCGATTGTGAAAAGTGTGCAGGAGTGACAGTTTGAAGATCGAACAGTTTCAGCATCTTCCTACGCCTATATTCTTCTCCGAGTACGGCACAACCATGCCCACGTACACTGTGAGCGCCACGACGGAGTCACGCGAGTTCACAGAGACCTCAGCCTTGTTCTCCCCGGCAATGACTCATGTGTTCTCGGGAGGTTGTGTGTACGAGTTCTGGAGGAGTAGGAATGGATATGGTATGGTCAAGATGCAAACAGAGCGAGAAGAGATGATGGAGAGAGATAGCGAGACACTGTCTAAACAAGAGCTCGAGGAGAGATATGGGGATGAGCTTCAAGTCTTCCAAGGCGGAGCAATTGTGGAGAAACGTGCTGGTCCGTTGGGAATCATGCTTGTGTATGCTGATTTCTTCAACTACCAGAAACGTCTGGCAGCAGCGCGAGAGGTGGAGCCGAACACGCTTGCAGCGCACACAGATCGCACAGGGTACGAGCGAGTGTTTGAAACGGTGCAACGACGCGATATTGCCGACATGGGCGAGGTTCCAGATAGCCCTATAGATTGGGCGCAATTTATCAATCTGTGATACTTGGTTCGTTTCACGAAAGCAGTTATGCGCTGAACATACCGGCACAGGTCTCATGTATACAACACCATGTTCATACCACGCGTGGTTGTGCAACGCAAACTGTCATGATGATGGACGAATTGAGATATAGTTGCATACACTTCGTCACAACAGTCTGCTCCGCTGATAATGATATCATCCTCCGCCAATGATACAGTACACCTTTGTGCTTTTCCTTATATGGATGTAAGACTGAGCTGGTAGATCCTGGCCTCCATGTTATCATATCATCCTCAAGCGCATTGGATTTTAGTTATGCAATTGACCGGAGAGTGACTCTGACTCCTAACATATTTACTTGCACAGTGACGACAGAGCCTAATCATTGCACCTGCGCGTGTCCCTGTCAGATGTCAGCATGCAGCATCTGATTTAGCGCGTCCTAGCTTGAACGATCCGAGATGAGTCTTCTTCCGCCACAAAGCTAGCGCTCACCATCACCACCAATGGGAGATCCATTATGACGTTGTCTAGCAGCTTGTATGTGGTCCGAGGCCCATGGCTTGTCGAAATTGCGGGGTGGCTCCAAAGCTCCTGAGTCCCTCTGTATGTGACAAGTCCTTGGCACATGGCATGGGGGGTTCTGCGATAGGTGTCAAGAATGGAAATGACGAATGTGAACGCTTTTAGGTTCTGAGAGAATGTGAGAATGAGAATTATTCACACTGAACGAGGTCAGTATCGGTTTCAGGTAAGGCGAAATGATGGTTTAAGGATTTCGACAATGAGGTGTCATAGAGTCTGTAAAGCTCTTGTATTCATGATGTCTGGGTATCGATTATAGAGTTATCTTCATCACGCCGCTGTTGCGAACCGCGGTGAGAGTGAAAACAGGTTATTAGTGTTTTTCATCAGTGACGTCGATGGATGATTGTTGGGCCGTCGCGTAATCTCGTGCTTCTGCCTCCAACATCGAAGCTTACACCACCATCTTCCTGCTGCCACGCTTTTTTGCGAAGAAGGTCACTCCGATAGCCATAAGGAACATGACCATGCCGAGGAATAAGAAGACGTAGTCGGCTTGTCCTCTCTGGCAGCGGCCTTTCAAACTGTTCGCCCGTGTTTGGACATCGTCTTCATCGTCTCCAGGCCGTCCTCCGGTGCCGCAAAGTCTCTCGCCGTCCTGCTCGATGCATCCACCGTTGACGATCTTATTATCGAACAGGGAAGGGTAGTTCTGTAGGCTAGAGCTGCAAGATAAACCCTTCATAGCCACGGTAAGTGCCTGTGGCAGTCAGTGGACAAGGTCAAGACAGGGCACACGAATAGCGTATAATCAGCCCGGCATTGTTACTACTTACAATCCCACCCGCGAGGAAGATCAGTGCACTCAAGGCGTCAATAGCGATGATAACCAAGGCCGGGATAGCTTCAATGAAAGACGCGATGAGACCAATTGCAGCAGCGACCAGGCCCCAGCCGCCACAAAATGCGGCATAACCAGTCGTAGCAGGTGCCTTGCCTACTGCTTGCCATTGAGTCATGCTGACTGACAGTCCCAGAACAATCGCGGCGAAGATGAGCTGGAAAGCTCGAGTGACGAGTGTAACAATCATGTTGCAAGTTTGGTTGATCGGGTCGTGTCGGAGGTGTGTGTGTATTTTCGACGTCTGGAGTAATTCTAAGCACAGATGTGTCGACAGCAATTGAAATGTTGCAAAATAAAGGGTGGAGCGCAATGGATGCGGTGTACGCAGAGATGGGAACCTATATATCCTTTTAGCGCAGCAATATTACAACACCAGCCTGTGGCTCTGTTTCGTTCGTTATGGCCCAGTAGCACAGCCCAAACAAGATTAGCAGCAGCCGTTGCTTGGAATGATTTGCTCATCCATGACGAAGGAACGGTAGCGACTTTCCAAGTTCGCCAATTTTGGAAAGGCTAGCGCATTGATGCCTACAGATGAGATCAGCTGCATCCCGATGGATCTGTTGAAACACGTTAGATCCCAAAGCCACGTTCTAATTGTGGCGGGACACTCATTGGATATTCTCCAAAATTAATAGATCTTTCAGCACGAGGCGCTCTATGCTCATCCACTAGGACGTTGTGGTATGACGCGTTGAAAGTTCGTGTTGACAAGGGCTGTTCAACGGCAATATTTATATCTGCAGTGCTGCAGGTGTGTTCATTCCATGATGTGTCAGCTACCCCATGTCGATCGGGAGTTGCCCGAAGCTTTAAGCGACTTACAATAGCTTTCGCCTACCAACCAATAGTGAGTACACTCGACGCCGATTTGCTAGTGTTCCAGCCAACTTACAGGAAGGCAGATTCAGCCTCGTGGATAGGCTACGCTGCATGAACGATCAAAGTTCCACGCATGAAGAGAGCAGACAGTGCCTGATGATGCTAGCAGGGATGCTGATGAAACGGAGACTAAGAAGTAATAAATTGTGACCGCTTCAGGCCGTGATGTTCTATAGTCCATCTTTGCTATCTTTGACAGAGATGCGGTATCGAAAGTCGAGAAAATGCTTAAAGCTTCGGTTGCACCCCTTCATCAGCCGTGGTATCATCGGTCCTCTTCAATATCCATTCAATGACGTCGTTCGCAAAAGTTTCACGGTCAGGCGATGGTTCGAAGTGTACTGTGAAAGTAAGTCCAGAGAACAGCTGATTGGAGAGGCGCACTCACATTGATGGTACCAACCGTCGTAAACCTTGAACTCAAAGTCTTCTATGTCCTTCTTTTCTCTGTCGCAGAACTTCTTGGTCGCATCGAAACTGCATACCCTGTCACCAGTGCCGTGGCTAACCCACATTCTAGTCCTTCCGCCTTGGCCTCGCCCTTCGCTGATCCTCAACTTTCCGCTCTCCAACAGATCAGCTCTTTCGAACATCCCCGCTAGTCCTTCGAGGGTGCCCGTATCGTGACACAGCGGATCATCCACGATGGACTGATTGTTTTCTGGGTCTCTTGAGATATAGTCCGCTTTGAGCTTATCGGTCCTCTGGAAATTTGGTGCCAACTTCGCAGCCAGTTTTCCAAGTGTTAACACAAGCTTCAGTGGTTGTGATGCCGGATCGAGACCGATGAGGGGCGCCTCTGCAAGATATCCCCTTATATGCTGACGGGTGTCTGCTGGACCCATCGCTGCGTAAGTAAGAATTTCACCGCCGCCCATCGAGTGGCCCATGAGGAAGAGTGGCACAGATGAGGGTATGAGCGTATTCAGGAAGGCTGTGATGTCGGCATGAACGCGAGAGGTAGGACCTGTCAGGCCTCTTTCAGAGGGTTTCTGTACAGAGCGACCCCATCCACTGCATGTATATTAGTCATAACCAACATTATTCAAGCCGTCACATACGCCTGGTCAAAGGCACAAACTTCGATGCCGTTTGATGCTAGAGTCGGGAAGAAAATGCCGTATCGGCCGCAGTGGTCGCTATAGCCGTGCACGAAGGCAACGCGCGCTTTCGCAGGTCCGTCAGTCTACCTCTATTGTCAGCTTCTGAGTTTGTCATTATAGCGGGGAGTGAGTGCAACCTTCCATGTCTTTGTATATAACTTTCGATCTTCGAACTCAAGCGAACCCTCTACTGTCGACATTTTGCAGAATATTGTTGGACATGATGGGCAAATGAGATTACAAACTTGTAACCAGATATAGGCCGAGGCTGACTAGCTAAAACTATAAGCTTATCGATAAGAGTAATCCATCTTAGGACTGCTGCCTCAGCAACAGTGAGGCATTCATGAATGCAGCTCCACCTCGGCGGCATCACAATCAAGGTCATCTCTTACCACGCCGCACACCTGCAGTGGACGCATAAACTGTTGAATGCAGAACGATGCGTGCACGCGGTACAAGAGTCTCCTACAGTCTGTATAGATCGAAAGGGCCTGTATACCAACAGAAACGCGCAATGGCAGCAAAAGCATACCTTAGTCACCAGGAACGAACTGCCAATGAGCCGCGGGACCCAACACTACACAGCGTCAAGGTCAGAGATATCGAACAGGTTGTTAATAGCATTAGACTCATTCGGCTTGTCCCGAATGAAACACAGCCCACAATCAAGGTATGTAGTATATATGCCTAGTGACTGAGGCATGAAAAACGGTTTGGATTGAAGTCTCACATTCGAAGTTTCTGCCTGGTCAGTGGCTTGATGTACATATTCCTGGAATATACAAAGCTGGGGGCTTCACACTCACGTCTACACCAGAAGACTTGTCTCCCTCAACAGATGATGAATACCCTTACTTGGAACTAGCGATTCAGAATGCTCCAAGCAATCCTGCTGCCGCTTGGCTATGGCGTCCTCAGCATGAGATACTGAAATCGGATCTTGACGTTAGAGTCGGCGGAAGCTTTACTTGGCCTCCATCTACCATCAAGCCTGAACGCATACACAAGGTCGTTCTTGTTGCAGGTGGGATAGGCATCAAGTGAGTATTCGCAGCCATGTCATCGGAAACTTCATAGCTGATTTTGTGCCTGCAGTCCGCTCATATCGATATGCTCTGCATTGAGTAGGAGTAGCCACATCAACTCCATCAAGGTGCTGTATTCTACCAGATTGACGACTAGTTCATCAAAGGTTTTGTTTCTAGAACGTTTGAATGCGTTATCACAGAAACAGTCGACAACGACAGTCCAACTTTTCTTGACAGGGTCAACGCCTCTTGAGAGAACGTGTGAATCAATGAAGGCTGCTAAGTTGCAGCGAATCCGACTCGACGATCTGATCGATGCTATTGGCCCAGCTACAGGGAGAGCTTCTACCATCTGCTATGTTTGTGGCCCATCTAAGATGACCGATGATGTCGTTAAATACCTTGCGGCGCAGGAAGGCATGGATCGTTCGCGCGTGCTTTGCGAGAAGTGGTGGTGATCAGACCAATCTTATTGCGGCAGTCAGACGACACGGGCGTATAAATGCAAGAACAGATAGCTAATGGCATATCACGGCGGCTATATGTTATCGCCGGGCGCTTGCTTCAGAAGAAGTGCTCAAATCTAGCCTTGCGGCTGTCATGGACCGACCGATGCGGACATCGTGAATCATCTGACCATAGAGCAAGAGATGGTTGTACGTATCAAGCTTCACACGAACGTGTCGATCACACCCTCGATCAAGAGTGTGGTATAGGATAGGAAACGCGAAGCAGTGATTTAGATGATACTGCAAGAACTATGCTATGCGGCCTATGCCTAGCACTCTGCGGAAGACTTGGTTGCGAAAGCGACTACGACGACAGACACCCGAATGGATTAAGAAGAGTAGGGTGGATCAAGCAACCCCAGGGCAGTGGTGTGATGAGTGCATTGATTGGTCCAGTTGCATTCGACCGGTGCACGCTCCTTGCATTGGTGTATCCCACGTCGACCATTCAGAGGCTGCATGCTCTCTGCCAGCGAGTGAAATCAAGCTGTTGCCGCCGTGCCCATGCTGGTGATAAGTCCATCGCGGTGATTCGAGCCTGGAATGGATACTGAACGGCGGAAATATGAAGAGCTCTCCACCTCAGCCTTCTCCGCATCTTCAATCCTCCTGCCCGCGACCATCAACCACAATACAATAAGTACAGCCCGGATACTCGTGTCTGAAGTGGTGACGCTTTTGCGCACAACACCTCGACCGAAACCTGGAGCTCATCTCCTCTACGGAAAAGCGTCTGTGGTTCTCGCTGAACCCCGCCCCAGCTGGACGTCGTCGCAAATAAGCGCCGACCAGACCGCTCCCAACCTCACGAACGTTTCGAAACATCATACATCCACAACATGATGTTCTTCATGTCCAGGAAGTGGAGGGTTCCGCGAGTGATACTTGGCTTGATCATTTTCGAGTTCCCTCTTACAGTGGCCTGCTTGACTTTGACTGGAATTGCTGCGCCCAATTTATACAGAAATAAGTTATGGCAGACTGGTGGAGATTTGGGCTTCAACAGCAAGCCGATTACAATTGTCTACGCTTATGCCAACTATCGTCCCGTCGATATACCACTGGTCTGGAGCCAATTGTATGTGATCTAGGCCTGTCGACAGCACCCTGACTGACATCTGATAGCTCAACCAACTTTAACCTCGTCATAAGCGTCCTCTCCATGTTCCTACTCCTCACAAAGATGACAATGCACATTCTCGGCACATTCTATCCTGTCATGTCCCTCATCGTCCATGGCCTCCTTGTCGGACTCTGGAGCTATAGCGTTCATGTACAAACAGCGCCCGACACCATCGATCGTAATCGAATCAACAATGGTGTTCCATGGTATATTTCCAAGAGCTGTAACGTTGCGCCTGAAGGCGAGGTCAGGGGTTACTGCATGCAGGCGAAAGGGTTCTTCGCCATGACTATCGTCTCTCTGTACGTTCTTATACTTGAATGGGACTCATTCAAAGCTAACGTCTACAGGCTACTCTTTTCTACCCATTTCATCCTTGCGCTGTGGTCGGCAATACCTACCGAAGACCAGAAAGCAGCCCGGAGGACCAAGATTGAAGAGAAGAAGATGTTCTCGCCAGGCTCAGGCTCTGATTTTAGCGCCGAGGATGCGTGGCAGCGGCAGTGGGAGATGGGTCAGATTCCCTCCACTCCTGGAACCACAGGTGGGATCAAGAGCCCGTTCACGCCACGCACGCAGGCATTCCACAACCTTGGCGGCGGCATGGACCAAACAGAGCACACGCAACCACGGGCCAGTGGTCTGCCTCTCAGAGAACGTTTCGGAGAATTTTATCGACAATAATTCCGCGTAGGTGCATCATGTGACCATGATTCGCTCTGTGAAACACATTGAGCATGCAACTTGATCACGGTTTGTGGGCTTGGGAAAATGGAGTAGAGGTCTGGGCAGTCCTAAGAGGACGGATTGATACCATGGGCACGACGCCGTTTTTGATTGTCTTTATAACCACATCTGAAAGCATACACGAACGCCATGTGTCCTCTATTTACTGTCGAATACTAGCCGAATATTTGAATAAATTTTTATCATGAGTTCTGTGTTCAGAAGAATGTAGAGCACTGCTACTGATAATACAAGGCAGACTGATATTTTACCAGTAGCTTCTCGCTCGTGCCGTCAAAGGTATATTTGCGCGTAATCGCAGTCGAGGTGAGTGGGAGCGCTCGTACGCGTTGCCCCTTGCAACACTAGCGTCTGAGCGCAACGTGCAAGACGGAGTTGAAGCTCAAGCTTCAGGTCGCGAATATATCAATTCCAGGCAATCCATCGCATTATGCTTGGCTCTAATGTATAGTTCTAGCTCCTCATGTATAGGCGACCTTCTTTAACGCACTGCGATGATCAAATTGGCCAATCCCACCACGACGACCCAGACACGCGCCGACAACGTACGACTGGCTTTCTCGGAACCTACAACATGCTCGTCAGCCACCGTGTCGGAGCTTGGAAACTTGCTGTTCCCAAAGGGAGAGGATGAGGAAGACAAGGAAAATACAAAACCAAGACGAACAAAGGCTGCTACACGTTTAGCATCGACGCGTCTGAAACCAACGAGCTCGACCCGAGCCACCACAAAATCTGCCACTGCGACAATTGATGCGCACTTTGTAATCTCACCGAAAGAGCGTTTTACACTCGCGACCGACGTCGTGAACTCGTCGTTGAAAGTTCTCGCCGCCAGTCTCAAACTGCAGCTCAAGGTCCACTCGCCGTTATCAACAATTCAAAATGATGCTCCTATGCACAAACGAAGCGCCTCCTCTCCATACTTAGATATCAATGCTAAGATATCTACAAAGCCTTTACGAACGAAGACCAATAACCACCTATCTAATGGTAATAGCCGGTCCGCGCGTCCACGATCGTCTTCCTTCTCTTGCGGAACCGACAATGAACCTTCTTCCCATATACTGGCAATCGCGGAATGCGCAAGATTAGCATTTGCATACCTGAGGTCCGGTGAAGCCAGAAAAAGTAACGGAAAAGATTTGCCACCGCTTCAGATCGAGCATGGAATGGTTGCGCTAGTTGGCAAACTTCTTGGACACGGGATGACCTCATTAGCACTTAAAGAGTTACAAGTACTCAAAAGTAGACTTCGAAGTCACATGTGCCCGAAGGCGGATGGATGCGACACTGCCACAAGTCCGATTACGATCGCCTCACTTCTGGCATTCGAGTCAATATCTTACGAGTCCTCTGCGCTCCCAATCGTCATTTCATTCCAATTACAAGTCTTGAGAGTTGCTGCATCATTGAGACGGCCCAAAGCGATCGAGGGCATACTGAAAGAACTGGACCTAGAGAAGGAAACTGCGCCCGCCAACATCATCCTGCAATCTGCCAATAATCCAGACCAGCGCAGCAAAGCAGCCCGACAGCTGGAAACACTCGCCCAGAGCCTGCTTTCTTTATGCCCAAGTATTGCATCGAATCAAGATGAGGCAGCTAAAGACGCGAAATTGAAGCCAAGCCCCGATGCGGTCTTCCAACTCCAGCGCATTGCATTCCAGGTCAGGCTGCTTTGGTGGAAACTCGCAGGGCATAGAGGCGATGTCAATAAAGAACTCTGGGAACCATTTACAAAATGCATGATGGCTTACACTAGACGCTCCGTGACGCCGAAAGTGCACCAGTATCACATTTGCAAGAATCAGTTTTCAAAACTTGATGCTTCCTATCGCTCCCTGCTTTTGACTACATCAATTTCCATACCATCCCATACCGCTGCATTGTTTCCGATCCAACGAACCCTGTCCAATCTAGCCCAGTCCGCTGGGCTTTTCGATGAAGCTGTAACGTTCGCCCAGACGGACCAAGATTCAGCCGCCCAGGGAGATGCTACAACTGCCAGTAGCACCATAAAAATTGCTGCCATTGGGATTGATCGAGCTTTGAGTCAAGGTTGGGACGAGGAAGTAGAGACGCAGGTCTCTTTGGCGCTGGATGCATTGAGCAAACGAGGTGCTAAGACCGAGAACGATCAAAACTCGCTTCTTGGCGCTGTTATTGCGTTGCGTAGATCTGCCACGAAAGTTTTCGTGGACAGAGAATCTTCGGACTCTACTACTCGAGACCTACACTTATTCTCATTCAAGGCCATCTCAGGATGCATAGCCTTTCTTGGACGCCACGTCGACAGTCCTTCTCGCTCCATAGTTCATCCAGAATCCCAGAGCCCAGCTGGGGTAATAGAGAAAACCGCCAAAGCCTTCATCGACTCTGCAATCATTGCCTCCAAACTGCTTATAGCTCGCGGACTATTGGGATTCGACGAATTAGATCTATGTCTCCAGTCATGCCAGACACTACTAAAAAATCTGGAGCAGTATTGCATTACAGAAACAGAAGATAGTGACACACACAAGAATATGCAATTTCCTTTGGTAAAAGTGTCTAATGTGTACTGGGCTTGGGCCCTCAAAGAGAAGGCTCGAGAAGGTGCTCCACTCGAAGATGTCTTCAAGTCGATGAGAAGCTCAATCGAGGTTCTAACGTTTTCCTCGTTCCATGAACAATCTTCCGGTAGCATTTTGTTGAAATGTGCAAAAGCAGGAGAACTCTTTAGAAGTCACAAGCGCGTTAGTGAGGCGCGTGAAATGGTCAGCCTCTCCATCCGATGCCGTACCAATGCTGGAGTGTTGACAGTCGCTGCTGCACTCGCCGATTCACAACCCCTCGACTCAGTCTGGAACAGCAAAGAAGAACTGATATCATATCACAAAGACCTGGAGACCCTTTTACGCCTCGGTGTGTTAACTGGTGATGGTGGATTCTACGACGACGTAGATCTGAATTACTTGGAGAGGGCGGCACTGCTGGAATGTCAGTTGATACTCATCTGCCGCAGTTCTGCTGTGTACAACAGGCTTGAAGCTGGCCAAGCCACAGCTACATCGATTGCCACCATGACGCTCTCACTCTATACTCTAGACGAATACCCCGTACGCCGATTGAGAGTTCTGCTGCAACTCATGCAGGCACAGTGGGAATTTCCGGAATTACTGGATCTTTCAATCTGCTCCCTCGTCAATGAAGTATATATACGTACACCTGAAAATCTTGGTAAAGATTCCGAACTAGGCTCCTATATGCCACATCTCAAGAATACATTCGAAGTGCGACAAAATCTACAGCAGCCCACACCGGATCCAGACAAAGTGAGAAGCAACCTCGAGGTATGGGATGCAATGGTCAAGGAGTCAAAAGACCGTATTGGTTTAGGAAAACTGGTTGATAGCTTCGATAGCTGGATCAACATCTTGCACACTGTTGGCGACTTTTTCGAATCGAGAGGCCACGACAATATGCAAATCCCTGTTCTCAGTCTAGTCACCAGAATCCTACAGCTTGAAGGGTTAGGAAAGTCTTCTCAGCTACTCACGAATATGACGCGACTGGGCAGACAGCTCCTGACTCTCGGCTACCCTGCTGAGGCCCTGAAACTGTTCAACCGTGGCAAAGATGTACTACAGAGCGCTGACGTGACTACTGAATCAAAACTGCAGTATCACCTAGCATATGCAGAGTTCTTGTCCTCTATTGGCGACTCGACGAGAAGTGTTAACGAGTTGCGGGATATTGAGCGTCTGATCGAAGCCAAAGATGTCCTTTCTGATCTCACCAAACCCGCAACTACTACCAACGTACGGCTAAACCTGCACAAACTTCTAGCGCAGGCCAACTTTGCGCATTCTCTTTTGTCCATGCAGACTGGTGTCCCAAAGGATGCTCTACAATACGCGAAGCGGTGCGTGTTATTGAATCGACGCATTTGGGTCACTATAGAAAACAGAAACAAGGGAAACCAGAAGACTGTTTCCTTAGACGGGAATGTGTCGGACGCAAGCGATACTGTATCTCGTATTGGAAATATGACACTGTCCAGTGATAATCATACCCCGATATCAATGACGCACGGCAGCCTCACCGGACCAGAGTTCTGGACCCTCGTTCCGGTAATATTCACGGGTCTGTCGCAGCTAGCTCAGGTTTGTGAAAGTCAGGGCATGGTCGGCGAGGCAATCTACTACCTCGAGCAAGCATTTAGGGTCGCAGACGCGGTCAAGGCCACTTCTTGGCTTCTCGGGAATCTGAGCACTCGCGCCATTATATGGGCTAGAGCGGGTAATATCGACAAGGCTCAAATCTCCCTAGAGCAAGCTAAATCATTCCTCAATATGACTGTGACTACAGGAGAGGCAGCTACCTACCATAGTGCTGTTGCAGCTGTATACCGGGCTATGGGCGACGTGGACAATGAGATTCAGGCTTTAAAGAAAGGCCAGCAAATCTTAGCAAATCTCAGCAAGATGCCTTTCACTAAGTGGCTTGATGGGCTAGATCCAGTGGGAGCCGAGCTGGGCACGAGAATGTCCGAACTCTCTTTGGACAGCGCCACTGCTAAAGCCTATACCCCAGCACGAACAGACACGATATCAGGGTGGGCTAAGAAGCCAAATCCCAGGATTCGAGCGAAGACATTTCATACGATGACACGAACCACCGAAAGCGACCCTGTAGTGCCCGCAAATCCTTTGTTCTCTCCTATTTCTGCATCTCGTGCAGAATTGCTTCGTCAGGAAGCCTTTGCTGAGCTGGCACGGGACAACAAAACTAGCTCTGCCGCCCTACTAGATGAGGCTGAAGCATGCTATGACTGTGCTCAAGGCCATGTTGCACAGAACATTGCACGTATCAAACTGCTCATGGTCCAGTTTCAGAGTGCTGTGAATGCTGACTTCACTTTCAATGGCCTGCCAGAATCAACCGTCTCTTTTCCGTCTGTTAGAAGAAGTGAGAGGAATAAGTCGTCCGTGGCGAATGCTCCAAGGCCTGATCCTTTGGGCTCGAGGGGGAGAAGCAAGAAGACGTCCAAAGCGAAGGTCGTTGCGAATGAAGACTTTGTCAGCATGCTAAGACAAGCCCATGTCTTCTTGTTGGAGACTCAACCACTCGCGCTCAAGAGTGCACATAGCTCAGTCATGCATCAGGTGTGCAAACTTGCGAGCTCAATTACAGTCCTCCTATCAGCTGTTCATTGCCTTGCACCGGATGTGTCGTTGCATCCTCTACAAGCAGCGTTTTCATTTGGTACGCCTACCACTATACGATACAGCATATCCAGCTAACAGCGCTAGGGCATCCTCTTAACCGCACTCTGCAGCTCGAACAGGCGTCTATAGAGATAGAAGTGAACTCTACAGCCAAAACATCTTTAATGCAATGGCCGACTACAACAAGGTCGAACGATACAAGTGCCTCCTCGGCTTCGGAGTTTCAACGCCTATTCGTCGATATCATACCGGAGAACTGGTCAGCGATTGCACTTTCTCTCAGCGAAGCCCGAGACGAGCTATTCATTACGCGGTATCGCTCAAGTGAAACACCATTTATCCTACGCCTTCCCATGTCACGCCACACGTCCCGTGACCTGGACGAGGAGACATTTTCTTTTGATAACGGCAAGTCAGAACTTGTTGAGATCATCGAGATGTCTGACTTCAGTACGCATGATGGTCGAGACGTATCAAGCAAAGAGGCTAAAGCCGACTGGTGGGCTGAGCGCGAGGCCTTGGACGCTCGGCTGCAAGATCTCCTCGTCAATATGGAAAACATCTGGCTAGGTGGCTTTCGCGGTATTTTCTCACAGCACATGACGCAAATAGACCTGCTGTCGCGCTTCCAAAGGTCATTTGAGAATATCCTAAATGTGCACCTGCCATCAAGAAGCGGTAAAAGCCAGCCACCAAAGATCAATCTCGACTCGCGGATACTAGACTTGTTTATTGGGCTTGGTGATCCGTCAGCCGAAGAAGCCGATTTTGAGGAACCGTTGATGGATCTGGTGTACTTTGTCATTGACATTCTACAATTCAACGGAGAAAGTAACGCTTACGATGAGATTGATTTCGACGCCATCGTCGTTGAAACATTGGATATACTGCAGACGTATCATGCCGAGGCGGAATCTGAGCCAGCGCAACCGCAGCATACGATTCTTATTCTCGATAGCGCACTCCACTGCTTTCCTTGGGAGTCCCTACCGTCCCTCCAGCATATATCAATATCGCGACTCTCATCTCTCGCTGCTCTACGTGAGCGTCTATTATCTCGCTCGGCACCATCCAAGATTGGTGCAGACCATGACCCTGGCCACTACGTCACGCCGACAGGCAGTACCATCCTTAACCCGTCGCGCGACCTCACAAACACACAAACCCTTCTCTCTCCCTACCTAAACGCACTCCCTGGTGCCTGGTCTCACATTACTGCCCGGGATCCTACGGAGTCTGAATACGAGTCGGCTCTCCAGAACAGCGAGCTACTGCTCTACTTTGGGCATGGAGGTGGAGCACAGTATATTCGCCAAAAGAACATCAAGAAGTTGTACGTTCGAGACGCGTCTGATGAGAGCACGAAGCCACGATGCGCAACGACGTGGCTGATGGGTTGCTCATCGGCACATCTTACTGAACAAGGCACATACACCCCGTCCGGCACAGTCGCGTCGTACATGACGGCAGGCGCACCAGCAGTGCTTGGGATGTTATGGGATGTCACCGACAAGGACTGTGATCGATTCTCGATTCGATGTGGTGCGGTATGGGGGCTGTGGCAAGAACGAGAGGAGAAGGGAAGAAAGAAAGGACGGGCTGCTAAGAAGACTGCTGAGATGACAGCCAAGAGGAAATCAAAGGAGAGAGGGAAGCAGAAGTCTAGGGGTATAAGTCTGGACGACGCGGTCAGGAGCAGTCGGGATGCGTGTTATTTGAGATATCTGAATGGTGCGGCGCCAGTTGTGTATGGGATTCCGGTATACCTGAATGGGTAGGGCGATGGGGCATGCGGTTTTACATGTATTGACATGTAGTGGCGTATTCTTATAGGACATGTCCCGGAGAGTCGTATGTACTAAGACCCTTTGGAAATGGATTGATCTCGTATCCCCTCACCTCAGATGTCTCTCGCGCACCTCTCTCCTTGTTGTGCTCAGAGGTATCAATCATCCATCGTCCATCACACAATCTGTTTCGTCCAGATACGGTAGATACACATTGATTGGCTTCCAGGGCAGGCTAACACCCGTTAGGCAAGTGAACAACTAGCAAGCTACCCCGCTGGCCCACTAGACAGCTCTGGACCCCTCATTCACACACACACACACACGTACACACCTGATGCAACAAGCCGTTATATAGCAAGCTTCCCACCCCTCCACTCGCACCACTCCTCGCCCATCCTCCTTACCTTCACCTCACTCACCCTTCTCCAACCACTTCAGACACAAAGCACGCAAACACACCAAGAACCGCCATACGCCTACAGACGACGACGACGACGACAACAAGAAAAGCATCAACATGCAGACATCCCCCACCTCTTCCCTCGTCGATATGCACGGCAGTACCTGCCCCAAGTGCAGTGCTTCCATCGACGGTGGTGCAAAGACCTGTGGCTCTTGTGGAAGCGTATGTGTTATCCTCTTTGTTGTGATACTATCTATCCCTGTCATGTCATGTTGATCATGGGGGCTGACTGTGTGCTCTGTAGTCCTGCCCTGTCTAGAGCGCTATGGCCGTGTTCGAATAGTCCTGACTGGCGTGTAAAGAGCGTGTATGGGAGGTGGTGTGGTGTGGTGTGGTGTGGTGTTTCTGAGGAGCCTGTGTTGAGGGGGTTGCATTGGGGATGAGGAGTTGGGCTCGGAGTTGTGTGGGTTGCGAGCGAGAGTGCACTGTGTCGGCGATATGTCGAGATGATGACGTTTAGGGACCTTGTCGTTCGAATTTAAAACAGAAATTATCCGATTTATTGTCCGTGGTTTTTCTCACTTTTGTGCTGTGTGACTGTCGTATAGGTGATTTGTCTTGGGTCGTTTTAGTGTAGCGCGCGGCTTGGGCTGCTGCGTGACTTGCTATCGGATACCTTGGCTCGTAATATATGTGAGTGTCGGTATCGTGGAGTCTCTTCTGCGGTCTGGCAGTGCAATATATCGGACGTAAGAAGTACCGTAGAGCGATTTATAATGCCTGCAGGCAAACGGCCGGAGCGGGGGCTTCGGGGGATAAACGACCGTGGTTGGGGATCCGAGGAGATATATAAGGTGGTTGAGCACCTAGATATGTTTAAAAACAGCTTTATATTAGCATGGTCTGCTTCTCAGTTATGAGTTTACGCTGCTGATTTTGACGTCAGTTCTCGCACTTCTTAGATCTCAGTCACGACATTGCCTCCGTCGGATTCCATCATTCCATGATTGGTAGATATACACTCCGTCTGGCACAAAATCCGAACATCCGTCCACTTTCTGAGCCTTCTTCTGAACTCATCAACGCATTTCCACCTACCATCCATCCAACATGTCGATCCCCGCAACCCGACGAGCCTTGACGATTCTCGGCCCCGGCGAAGTCGCCGTGCAAGAGCGTCCACTCTCCCCCACTCTCCGCCCGGACTACATGCTCGTCAAAACCGCCGCGATCGCGCTCAACCCAGCAGACTGGAAACTGCTCACGAGGCGACCGAACAAGGGCACGATCCTCGGCCTCGACTACGCCGGCACCGTCGTCGCCATCTCAGCCAACCCGACACATGACTTCGCGGTCGGCGATCGCGTCGCCGGCATGGTCTATGGCAACTACGTGTTCAACGCCGAAGACGGTGCGTCTGCCGACTACGTATATGCCAAGACGGGGATTGCGTGCAGGGTGCCGCCCGCGATGACGTGGGAGGAGGCGGCTACGCTGGGCGTGGGCGTCACGACGGTTGGGCAGGGGTTGTATCAGAGTTTTGGGCTGCCGTGGCCGGGGAAGGCGGAGATGGGGGAGGTGTTGGGGGGGAGGAGGAGCGTGCTGGTGTATGGTGCGAGTACGGCGACGGGGACGTTGGCGGTGCAGATGGCGAAGCTGTGAGTCGGTGTCGTTTCTCTTTGTGGTGGGGATGGATGTGATGATGTGCAGAATGGAGCGGACCGAGCCTTGTGGGACGAGTGTATGCTGTGCATATGTTGGAGCCGGAAGGGGCTGAGACAGCATTGTCCTCACTTTGCACACCATATTGCTACCCCCTCCCTCTCCTCTTCCTCTATCTCTTTTGAGTCTGCTCTGGTGTAGTGGAACTAGCTAAACATGCTCCAGCTCCGGCCTCGAAGTGATAGCAACATGTTCGCCGCACAACTTTGACATGGTCCGCTCTCTCGGCGCCGACGCCGTATTCGACTACAAGTCCCCCAGCTGTGGCGCCGACATCAACGCCTTCACATCCAACAGCCTCCTCTACGCGTTCGACTGCATCTCCGAAGGTACCTCGCTGGCAATCTGCGCCGCCGCCCTGTCAACCTCGAGCCCTGGTGGCAATGGCATCACGCCAAAATACGGCGTCCTCCTTCCCGTCCCGGAGGACAAGTTCCCGCGTGACGATGTGAAGCCGGTGCTGACGCTGGGGTATAGTGCGTTTGGGGAGAAGTATCGGTTTCGAGGGGCGGATTTTGAGGAGAAGGGGGATTATGTCTGGATTGAGCGGTGGTGGACTCATGTGCAGGAGCTGTTGGAGCGTGGGCTGATCAAAGCGCACCCGCCAGATGTGAGGGAGGGGGGACTGGAGGGTGTGGTGGCTGGATTGAAAGATCTCGAGGATGGTAAGGTCAGTGGGGTGAAGTTGGTATATATGTTATGAGGTTGGTTTGGGCAGAGTGAGATGGATGGAGCTGGCTGGGTCGGGGAGGTACGTAACGACATAGCGGAGAATGTTATGTGTGTCGCTGAGACATGGATGGTATATCCCATGCGCTTCTTACAGCATACGCATGTAAAAGCTATGCGAAGCCATGATTCTGCGACACGATATGCTTGAGCCAGTCTCCTGGACCCGGAACTGTCCTGCACAGATCTGAAACGTCCTCGGCAATACACACATATACCAACGAACAACCAACCTCAAAAAAAGTCTAGAACGAACCTTACATTCCGCATAGACGGCCCATCTTCTCATCGACACTCGCGCCCACCTATTAACAGAATGCCCGGGCTCCAGCACATCCTCACAACCCTCGTTCTACTCACCCACATCTCAACAGCCACGACCGCATCTCCAATACCCAACCACACCACCTCCAATCCATCACCACGTCCCAGCATCCCCATAACAGCCCTCGTATTCGACCGCGCCCCTGGACCAAAGTCCTGTCGAGGAACCCTCGTCTCTAGCATCACGCTGACGCGCCCGTCCTCCCAGCACAGGAACGGCACATGTTACGACATGCATCACGCAGCACAATGCGGTGTCTTCGTTGCCAACAAAGCAGACGCGTGCGAGGCGAGACTGTACAGTATGTCTGGGTGTCCCGAGACGCTGCAGGAGGCCTATGTCACGACGGTGGTGTTTGGACCAGATAGGACGGCGCGTGGAGGGCTGTGGGTTAGTATACTTGTGAGGTGTGGAGTTGAGATTGATGAGGGAAGGCTAGAGGAGGAGCAAATGCTGTTGCATGATGTATTTGGAGACTATGTTAAGGATGGCGGTGGGCGATAAAGGGGCTGTGATGCTATTGGTGATGCATTATCGAGTCCACGGTGTTTGCTTTTTCCTATGGGATCGCCCAGAAAGATAAATACGAGCCATCTCCGAAGTCGCAGCGCCACGGGAGTCTTGGCATAGGAGGATCGAAGGACTTGCCTAATCTGGCAGTTCCGTCCCCCGGTTTTTTGAGTTATCAGATCCTGCATCTAATCTACATAGATTGGGTACGTTGGCCGATTCGGCGACATACACACACACACGCGACACCAATATCTTTGTGCCTTTTGGTGGCCGTGAGGCTGAGTAAGTACTGGAAGTGTCCTGTAACGTACAGAGAGAACTCTCTGGCAAGCTTTGTGCCATGGCTTCTGTATTTCATAATGGGCGCATTGTGACCTTCGAGGGAGAAGGCTCAAATTTAGTTGAGAAGTTTGTGGACTGTATGATTATCAAAGATGGTATCATCACCTACATTGGAGAGTATGCAATGGTACCGCAATCAGACTTGTCCAGCGCCGCCTCAATCACGGATCTGGCTCAAAAAACAGTCGTCCCAGGTTTCATCGATGGGCATATGCATCTCCTTATGCTCGGTCAGTCACTGACCAAACTCGACCTACTACATTGCAACTCCCTCGAAGATATCCGCGCAACCATAAAAGCATACGCCATCTCTCACCCCGACGAGCCACGTATCATGTGCAAGTCCTGGCTCCCGAGCATGACCAACGACCTCGCCCATAAGAATATGCTCGACGACATCGACCCCAGGCCTATCTTTATCGACAGCAACGGTCTGCACTCAACATGGTGCAACACCGCAGCTCTCGCCGAACTGGACATCAAAGACATGCCCGACCCCCCAGGCGGCACGATCCATCGTGACGAAAAGGGCGAGCTCATCGGCCTCTTGAGCGAAGCAGCAAACATCAACCTCGTATGGCCATATCTCTCCCGCGTGTCCAGCATGCCGAAAAAGGTCGCCGCACTTCGCAGCGCTCTCCGCGCATACGCTGCAACCGGCTACACAGGCTTGGTCGAAATGGCCATGGACGACGCCGCATGGGAAGCGCTCCAAGCTCTACGCGCCGAAGAAGAGATCCCAATGCGTATCTCCGCATACTGGCTTATTCTCCCCAAGCCCACCGAAGCAGAAGACCTGGCCCAAGTCGACCACGCAATCGAAATGGCACGCCGCTTCAGCAAAACCACCTCGCCAAACTGCCGCATCATAGGCATCAAGTGCATCACCGACGGCACCGTCGACACCTGCACCGCCGCCCTCAGCGAAACATACGGCCAAATGACCTCCCTCACCGACCCCCTCTGGCCCGAAGAAAAGCTCATCCCAGTCGTCAAGCGCGCCGCAGCCGCAAACATGCAGATCGCCCTACACGCCATCGGCGACAAAGCAGTCACAACCGCCATCAACGTGCTCCGCGACCACGCTTCCACCCCCGGCCCCGACGCCGCACCACCACGCCACCGCATCGAGCACCTCGAGCTCACCACCCCCGAAGACGCAGCCAGACTGGGCCTCCACGGCATCACATCCAGCATCCAACCCGTACATGCCGACCCCTCGATCCTGCGCGCCTGGCCCGCGCTCATCGGCCCAACACGCCTCACCCGCGCCTTTGCATACGCCGAGTTTGCCGCCGGGGGCAGCGTGCTGAGTATCGGGAGCGATAGCCCGACTGCGCCGTTTGACCCGCTGGCGAACATGTATGTTGCCACGACGCGGAAGACGGCGCGGGCAGGGGAGCTGGCGAAGCCGGAGGCGGAGAGAGCGGCGCCGGTGAATGAGGGGTTTCGGTTGGGGCTGGCGGCGGCGTTGGCGGCGGCGACGTGGGGGAGTGCGTGGAGTGTTTGTGAGGAGACGAGGGTGGGGAGGTTGGCGGTTGGGTGGAAGGCGGATTTTTGTGTGGTTGATTTGGAGTGGAGTGGGGAGAGGTTGTTGGAGGGGAGGTTGTGGGAGACGTGGTTTGAGGGGAGGAGGGTTTGGAGGAGGGAGGGGGGAGTGTAGGTTGTAGGGTGGTGGTGGAGAGGGGTGGAGTGGGATTGTTCTGGTTTGTGTCTGTGTATACGCGCGTTGTGCAGTCATGGTCATAACAGTGGACAGTTTCCTCGGGATTTCTTTGTGCGTCGTCTCTTGGCCGACGAATACTTAAGGTATCTGTCCATCCAATTCACTAGACACCCGTCCTATAGAGTTCCAAGCCACTCGAATACTTCATTCTACACAGGTTACGAAGAACCTCACAACCTGCTCAAGAGTTATCACATAAATCAGTTCATCATTCAGACCCCACAATCATATGCATAACATCAAAGCAGACTTACTCAAAAAACGACGAGCTTCATACTTCTCCTACGTTGCAACTTTCCCCCTGATTACTCACTATTGAACTTTGTTCAAGTAACTCAGTCGTACACATATCGAAATGCATAATCGCGTGGCATTTGTAGATATAGTCCCACAAAGCCGTATCACATCGCATCATAGTTCCAACTCAAAGGATCATTTCTCTAGGGACATCCTACTCGTCAATCGTCTTGTTATACCTGTCGAGAGTCAATGAAGCCATGATAAACTACATTTATTGTAGCCTGTTTGCCAAGCAGAAAAGTGCTATGGAATGCTCGGTCCTTGAAAACAGACAACACAGCCACTTCACTTCGCGTCAATCCGAGGTTTGGAATGCGAAGTCGGTGGCGATTGGATTTAGGCACCCGAGTATCATGGTGTATATATGTATCGCATTTCTTCGGGCAAACAGTGCTTTATCATGCTTTATCATATAACAAGGCTTTACAGCATTGTGAGCGGCGCATTGTTCATTATTCCATCGCCCTGTTCTCCGTATCCAAAACATCATCCCGAATGCCGTCATCAACGTTACCCAACGATCCTCCATGGTCCGGACGGTTTTGGACTACCAATGATAAAAACCACCTGCTGGCGCTACCCCCCGAAGTTCTCCTCATCATCCACGCCCACGTCCCCGGCCACGTGCAAGAAGCTTTCCGCCAAGCCTGCGCGAAACCCTACCATGTATTCAGTTTTGCGTCCTTCGCCCGCACCAGTACACGTCTAAGACTGAACCTCCACCATGAAACAGGCGACCGCGCAGAAGGCTTGCTTGCCGAACAAAGACTGTTCAAGGAGGCTCTGAAGAGAGATTTATGGTACACGGGACCTGTTCGCAACGAACGACGTCGGGAGGCGCATATGGGGCGCGAAAGGTGTTGTTCGACGTGTCTGCAGACACATGACCGGCAGTTCTTCACAAACGCGGAGATGGAGAAGGATCCGGGTGAGAGGCGGTGTGTGGGCCAGCAAGGAGACCTCGTAGTCGTGACAGGAGGGGACACCACGATGATGAGAATAGGAGGAGATGACAAGCCCCTGACCTGGGCGAAAATGGTCAAACTGGATTTCCAGGACCCAGTCGACAGGGTATCGTCTTATCGATTGTTTGCATGGCCACCGAGATCACAATCGACATACAGTAGGGAAGAAGCGCCGGAAATCACGTACACCAGGTTGGATGGATACAAATTGTCCTTCCGTCGAGTCCTGTATGTTTCCATCACGGATGGTAGCACGTCGTACGATCAGGACGTTCAATGGCAGCATGTACAGGAACCTGCGCCGCATTACATATGTCCGCACGTTGCACTCACGGCGGAGTCCTTGACGGAAGGCTGGCCTCTGCTGCACTCGCCTTTTGGTCGAGAGTGTGCAGTCAGGCGCTGCAGCACAAAGTGGTGGCTTGAGAGATTAGACGTTGACGGAGGTTCGAGGAAGGAGATAGTTCTCAAAGTAGAAAGAGGACTAGGAAAGGGCCCGACCGATCCGAAGTGGTTGGCACAGCTCAGATCAGACCAGGGGGATGTGCAATACCGTATCAGTCAATTGATCAGATGATCAATGCCCCCCTCGGTGATCATTTGACCGGTTTGGGTGTCTTTTTGGGTGGTGCAGTTATACACACCTTTTGGTGTCTGGGATTAGATTTTTCCTTGAATCAGACTTGTGACTTACGGATGGGTAGACACAGGATTTCAAATTCCTTCTGTTTTGACTTACGAAGACTGTCTGGTCGGTACTGAACAACTGATATTGATTGCGATTAGTTAACCCATAGTACGTAGTATTTTGAATATAGATCATCATTGTTGTGTGAAATAAGTATGAGCAATGTCTGCACATTCTCTGACCCGACAATGTTTTATACCACGCATATTCTGCTGCTACATCTAGAGTATGTATTCAAAGTCTACATGTATGTCTGAGGGTGTCAAAGCTACTCGGTGTCGTAATGTCAGCCCAAGCTGATACCTGTCGAAGCTACGCTACGTAAGTACCAAGCTTTCCTACAAGGAGTCAAAACAAGCTTTTCCACGCGGCAAAAGTGGGGTCAGCAACGAGGTAATAATATATAAACAGCCAACCCATCCATCCTCCACAACCTCAAGCTACACACACCTAAAACAACAACAACATCTCCTCCCTCCCAAACAACACCATCAACCTACCAACCCACAATGACCACCACCTCGCCCCCGCCAGCAAAATACCTCCACGGCCACCACCCCTCCGTCCTCAAATCCCACTCCTGGCGCACCGCCCAAAACTCCGCCGCCCACCTCCTCCCACACATCACCCCCAACGCCCACATCCTCGACATCGGCTGCGGGCCCGGCACCATCACATGCGACCTCGCCGCCCTCGCCCCCGCCGGCCACACAACCGGCCTCGACGCCTCGCCCGCCGTCCTGACCACCGCCCGCGCCACAGCCGCCACCCGCCACATCCCCAACATCTCCTTTGCCCAAGGCGACATCTACGCCCTGGCCTACGCCGACGCCTCCTTCGACGTCGTGCACGCCCACCAGGTGCTGCAGCACATTGGCGATCCGGTCCGGGCGCTACGCGAGATGCTGCGTGTGGCGAGGAAGGGCGGGGTAGTCGCTTGTCGGGAGGCGGATACGGCGGCTTCGGTGTGGTGGCCGCGGAGCAGGGTGATGGAGGATTGGCGCGACACGTATGTGCGGACGGCGGAGGGGAGCGGGGGGAGTCCGTATGCGGGGCGGATGCTGGGGGTGTTGGCGCGGGAGGCGGGGGTTGAGGGGGAGAGGGTGAGTGTGGGTGCGAGTGCGACTTGTTATGCGGGGGCGGATCGGAGGTGGTGGTGTGAGATGTGGGCGGAGAGGATGCAGGGGGAGTTGAGGGGGAATATTCTGGAGGGCGGGTATGCGACTGTTGAGAGGCTGGATGAGCAGGTGAGGGTGTGGAGTGAGATGGCGGGGGATGAGGATGCGATGTTTACGATGGTGCATGGGGAGATGATTGTGAAGGTTTGAGGGCTTGAAGGCTTGAAGGCTTGAGAGGGTAAGGGGTAAGTCTTGCTACTTGGAGGACTGTCTTTTGATATAGATAGCTCTCACCACATACGAGTGTCGAACGAATAGCCGGTACACCATTTTACTCTGTATATACTTTCAGGACACCATTACTTTCCAACTTGACCACAAGAGACATCTTCTTAAGCTTAGGTGTGAATTCATAAGTTATGCTATGGTACGTCTGCGTTGCAAGCAAGCTCTGGACTCTGAACGCTGCAAACGCATTCTAGCTTGAAATTACCCCAGCGCCCCCCAACACCATGCATGCAACATGCTCTCCACAATCCCACGTTCCCCTTCATACAGCCTCAGTGGAAATAGCACGCCAGAACGAAACATCCACTCAGCCCTGCTCTGCCCCTTTCAATCCCCTCCATCAACCCCCTTCACCAACCTTTCCCACTCCCACCCCTATCACCCACCCTACAACCCCACCTCAACATGCACACCAGCAACATGCCCACACCCATCCCTCTCACACCGCCACGTCTCCTTGCCCCTCTCAAACGCCTGCCCATGCCCAACTTTCACGCTCTGGAAATCCGGGCAGGGGCACATGACGCAGCGCCAGCGAGATGGGCTGGTGGCATGCTCGGATGGAGAAGAAGGGGGAGAATTGGCGGATTGGTTTGGGAAGGTGAGATGGGTGTCTTGTTGGGGGTTGTTTGTTGTTGATGGTGGTGGTGGGTTGTGTGGGTGGGCTGATTGGGATGTTGTTCCGGTTCCGGGGGCGCTGAGCGTGGTTATGGGTGTGAGGTGGAGGATGTAGGATTGTGAGTGTGGAGGTGAGAGGGGTGTGTTGTTCTGAGGGTACGGTATGGTGGGAATGGGAGGAGTCGCTGGGGCTGAGATGGGAGCTGCTGCTGCTGCTGCTTGATCTTCGGGGGTCAGGCGAAGGAAGGAGTGCGGTGGTGGTGGTTCAGCATTGCGGGTATCCTTCTTCGGGCTCTGCGTTTCGTCTTTGCTTTGGTTAGCCATGTTATTAGGCCGTGGGTGTGGTAGTCTCGAAGATTGATTTAGAAAAGGGCGGGCTACGCACTACCGACGAAACGATGTGTGCAGTATATAAGCGTAGTGGAATTTGCGAGAAAACAAGGCTTGGTCACACAGCACCATGCGGACCCATCACTAGAGTGTGAATCAATTCAGATTGGTTCAAACAGGGAATGTGTACGTCCGGAGTCAAGTCCGTGGAGTATAGCCTATGGGTCTATGTCAGATGTGTGACATTGGAGCTCATGTGTTGTCACTTGATTGTGTTACGATCAACACAATTCTTGTCCCACACACAGATTCTCGCTTTACCCAGCTATCGCTTAACCCGGTACGAGCAGGGCCCAGTCGTGAGTGAAGACTGCAGGTCCAAACCGTCGTCCACATATTGACGATTATCCATATGATTGTTTTAGATGAACCTTAGTGAGGAATCATCAGATAGTGACTTGAAGATGCTTTCGACTGTCATATTGACAATGCAAGCTCCAGTCTACAGGTCACTGGCTATAGGCACAGAGAGTGCTATAAATCACCACACATTGCTGGGATCAACGTGGAAGTCTTCACCGTTTTCACGAATGTGCTTCTTGTCTTTGTCTCTCGGCAGTGGCTTCCTCATATCAAATGCATCTTCGCCGTCATTGTAGTAGTTGACAACGCGTTTGTATACCGTGTATCTACAAACTGTCAGAACGTCGAAGGATTATCATTCGGTCCTAGTAGTCACTTACCCTAGCTTCTTATAGAGCTTGATTGCAATCTCATTATCGGTCCTCACGAAGAGGTCAATGAACCAGCAATTTTGTGCTTCTGCGACTAACTCCAGGGCTTCCGAAAGCTTCGTGCCCAGTCCGATGCCACGAGCCCACGACGCTACTGTGAGGGCTGTGATATGTGCGTGCCAAGGCAGGTAGTTCGGGTTGGTATTGGTATCAGGATCGTAGGGTGTAGGCGAGGAGAGGAACGGTGAAGATTCAATTTTACCCAGAACTACGACAAGAGTCAGCGAAGAGCTATAGAAGAATCGCAGTAGAACTCACGATAAGCAGCTACCCTGCCATTTCTTGTCTTGACCACATTGCAGCACTCAGGCCATCGGTCCAGGTAGTCCATGTAGAATTCTGTCTGATATGTCTCGGTCAACGGATCGATGTTGCAGTCGCCGAACTTGAAGAGGTCCAATGCTTCCATCTGGTGGACTCCATAGCCTGGAGGCATTGGCTTGAGGTGCTCCCATGACGTGCCCTTTAAGGGATTATAGGGCTCTTCAGCTACTTTCGACTTGTCGATCTTGACTCTCCGAACCACGGGAAACCAGTTCTTGTCTACGTCGTAGTGGGTTTCGTATTCGTCGCTGTCGTCTTCTGGACCGCCGGTGGGAAGAGGCTCAGGTATAGGGCTGTACTCGGTGGGGAAGCTATAGTCACGAGTATCCGAGGTGGACATGTTGACGCGATTTCAAGAGAAGTGCAAAGTGTGTTGTCACGAAGCAAAAATTATGAAGCAACTGGACAAAAGGTTCAAGAACTGCCCCGCAACGCGACGAACCTACATGACGCTAGGGAGCAGTAGCAACGCTAGGCCATGAAAGGCAAAGCCCTGAGCCTGCAAGTACAAAGAAAGTATCTTACGCAGATAGGTCTGTCTTCTTCATGTCGCGTTGCCATGATCGCTGCAGGTCCGGATCTATTGGTCAAAGGAACAGACTTGAAGCTCTTTCAAGATATCACAAATTTGTAGAGGGACTGTGGTGCACTACCACAGTGAGCATTGCTTAGAAGTAAATTCTGCTGCTTCTTATATCGGACATTGCGTTTCCACACAATAGTCATACCAGCGTGAACTTCTCGGTATTAGGCTTGTGAGATCTCAGGTACCTTGCTTTGGCAATTGATGCTAGAGCACGCAATGGTGGACTGCGAGAATGCGACCGACGATTGGCGATCCGAGTCCTTCTGACACCCGAGTAATGTTGAGACTGTAGTGAAGAGCACTATGCATAGAGCCTGTAAGTATAGTACTTTCATGTACATAGCGAGAAATTTATAAGAAATAGAAGAAATGTAATCGATAGCGTGAAGAGAATGGAGTGAAGGAAACGGTGGAATCAGGACAGGCTGTTGATCGTGATTATGTCCTGTAATCTCCTCCTGGCAGAGTTTGGGCCATGGCACATACTTTGACTTCAGTGACCTTATGATAGTTGCTGATAGACTTGACGAGAGAGGGAGCGCTGATGTCGGCGAAGCGTTGAAGTTTTCCACTCTTAAGCATTAAGCACCTAGGGAGTCGCAATAGGAGTACCATCAAGATACTGACAGATTCCTGCCTGAAGAAAGCCAATATGAGGGTACTGTATGGTGGATATGAGTGTTCCTTTTCTCGTCATTACAGGTGTAGCTAGATTGTCTATAGGATATGTGATGTCGTGATAGGAAGTCGAATGAGGACTGCTGAGGAGTGTTCTACGTCTGCATTCGCGTAGACCTTCGGACTCCAGGAACAGAGCGGCGCGCATACGATCAGTCAACAGACTAGACGTACCTACATTGGAAGGAAGCGTTGTCGTTGTCGAATTGCTCGACGATGTTCTGTGTAAGAGTTGAGGATGATTGATGATTGCAGTAATTATCGCAATGCTTAACAGCGGAGTCGCAGCCGAAAAACTGGCTGCTCTTTAGAGGAAGCGGAGTAAGCCTAGGGAGCAGGCCGCGGAGCCATCTTATGCCCGTCGGACGTCATTGCTTGACCTTCGTCATTCTCCTTTGACGACCTCCTATCCACTACTATTCACTCCACTGTTGTTGTGTGTACTATGTATGCCATGATATCCACGATCACCACCACTGTTCCACAGTTGGTGCAATCGGGATACTAGGATGCACAGCCCTTCCCGCCTCCCCATAGACTACACCGTCAAGTTTCCACAATTGCATGCCAACCGCCTCCCGGGCCCCCACAGGTTATGCCATATTGTCCACTATATTGCGGCGCATATCCATCTCATTGGAAGACTACACCTGTTGTGTCATGGAGTCACGTCTTTTTTTGGCCTCGTCGTGTGTCGTACCATCTATCGCACATGCCGCGAGTCATAACTTCACCCTATGCGAAAAAGGGTCCACTGCCCAGCTCCGTGTCAGCCTTCCATCTTCTCCCGCCATGATGCCTCGTTCCTCGCTTGTTTCTTCTCATCGCGGTCCTTTGCCGCCGTCCAACATATGCGGCAATGGACCAGCGTGATCTCAATGTGAACATCATCGGAGATCAGTCTTCTTTCTGTGCACGATGCAGGCCATTGTGTCTTGACCCCTCTCAATACCGCTGGCGTGAGCGGACCGATCCGACAGGGGCCAGCTTTTTGGAATCGACACCTATAATTGATCAGGATCCATATGAGCGCACGCAGAACATTCCGTTCATTCTACACGACTCGCTACCACAGCTTCCACGACTAGAAGAGACGGCATCATCAGGATGTGCTTTTTGTACACTATTACGAGCGGCAGTACTCTCAAAGCTATCACATATCACACCGGATTACGCGGACTCTTCATCATCGGTCGACGCTCGTTCCCACTGCCATCTAGAATTTTCTGAAGCAAAATATGAATGGATAAGCGCAAAAAGCGTACACTGGGGGGAAAATGCCAAATACTGGTATCTCAAAAGTCTGAGCCTTTATGGGACATGTACCACTGTAAACGAACACGCCAGTTCCAAGAAGTTCAACATCTGTTTCGACGTCATAAGTCCTCCCAGTAAGTCCTCAGTCGGCGGAGCAGCGATCGCTGCTGAATTGAGCGAATCAGTCCATGAAGGTGCTCCTCTCGCTATATATCAACGGCCATTGGTGAGTTCAATACTGTCCGATACGAATCTGAACATGGTCCGCTCATGGCTACGGTACTGTAACGCCGGTCACACGTTATGTGCCAGTCCTTCTTGCGCAATCTTACCCACGCGCCTTGTCGAGATAGATACAGTAGGCACCTCATGTCGATTGAAACTTATGAACGAACCCGGTGATCAATATGTGGCACTGAGTTATACATGGGGCACTTTTCAACCACCCTTACGCCTGACGATGCAATCACTTGACGCATTTCGCAACAATATCCCATTTGCGCTCATGCCACGAGCCTTCCAAGACGTCCTTCGATTTGTTCAAGCACTTGGGTTTCGCCATGTCTGGATTGACTCTTTGTGCATTATTCAAGGTGCGCTACATGTTGTTCTTTGTCCAACCGCACTGGGACCTCTCCTTTTGGAGCGCCCTCTCGTCTTGGGCTTAAGCTTGGTCGTCCTAGATATTGTGGCTCTCCAGGATCCGCACTCTTACTAACTACTGGCAGACAATGAAGAGGATTGGTCATCGGAAGTCTCCAAGATGATGGAAATCTATCAAAACGCTGCCCTGACAATCTCACTGTCGGGAAGCCGAACACCGCACCAAAATATTCGGAGCGAACTGGAGATCCGCAACGCCATTACTATGTCTTACACGTCCCTCTTCAACTCGCAAGTACCTGGTCACTATCTTCTCTCACCAAGCCCGAGTGTCAACACATTCCAGGGACCGTCGCTCCAGTTCTTCCACGACGTGGATCCGTCGTATTGGAACACTCGAGGGTGGACTTTCCATGAAAAATTGCTGTCCAGGAGGACGCTCTACTTTGGCACTCGGAAAATGTACTTCACATGCCAAGAGTCGCTCTTCATGGAAGGGAGTGATGTCTGCGAAGAACCGAACCGCTTGACATATCCATCGCTGGCTATTCACTGGTTCTGGTACCGCATCAACAAGACTCGAAATCCGGATTCGCTATTGGAGAATTGGTTGACAATGGCACAGGCCTACAGCACACGAAACCTGAGCTACATCAGCGATAAACTGCCAGCACTATCGGCACTAGCTAAAGAGATGCAGCAACGACTGGTCGATAATTGTGATTTGACAACACGCTATCTCTGTGGTATCTGGGATACTGATTTGATTCGCGGACTGGCCTGGTATCCGGTCTCTGCAAACACCAGTGAAACGGACCAACTTTCATCACAACTCATAGTGAAACGCGACGATCTTCCATTATCACTTCCGGGACCATCGTGGGCGTGGACCAGCTACGACACCCCGGTTCGTTTCGCGCATCTCAATCTTCTTTCTCATAGCATCGAGAGCGATACTAAACTCAGGCTCACCTCATCAAACACGAAAGAACATATCAGCGACGCTTCCTCCAGCCCAATGGCCTGCATCTCTCTCCAGGTCTCCAGCCAGATAGTCCCCCTCAACTTCTCCTACCTCGTGGACTCCACGGGCAACGCAATGCAAATCTCCTCCGAGAACAACACCGTCGAGTTCTCTCTCAACTGGACGACGTCAGATTACGATGCCGCAACAAACAATCAATTGGACGTCTACGCCCTTGCAATCCAGTTTCATCATGTCGAGCGTTCATTTTCCAAACCTTACATCTCAGTGGGGCTTCTTGTTACGCCTGCTGGGCTGGGTCCAAATGGCGTGAAGCAGTATCGACGTATTGGGCTGGTGTTTTGCAACAGTGAGAGGAAGAGCTCGGTGTTTGATGGTGTGGAGGCGGAGACTGTGCTGCTTGTATGAGTCTGTGGTGTTTTGACCTTCGCGCTGGATGTATTTCATCATTACATTTCTCAATTTCCCCGTGGATGCAGCGATACGGTCACGAGGAATACTTGGTGACTCTAGAGACCATTCAGTGAGCTTTAGCGATGACATTCGAACCTGGGTTTGTCCAACTTGGCAATGCCAAATCTTGCGGTTGGCAAACGTGTTCAAGGCGGACGAGCTCGGTTTGAGTTATTGCAAGTTCTTGTGATTGTATTACTATTTGACGCATGTACATTGCACACTGTATAGTTATGATGGATGTAACAATGGCGATGACTTATGCGGCTTCTGTATGATGGCGAAGTGTCTGGAAAGACTAGACGATGAATTCGTCTCTCGATACTTGGCCGGTATATCCTGGAACTGTGTACACTACTATATGGAAAAGCGACCATGAGGAAATGAATACAAGCGGAGATCTGTAGTAGTGCACCAGACCACATACAGCTTAACCAATTCCCACACATGGAACCCATGTGGAGAGCCGCAGATCCATACCCAACACAGCCTAGTTTCAAACAAATGACAAGGATGACCGCGCACCGCCACCGTGGCCACGGTTCAACTACCCCAGGCTCGGCATATCGTTACACTGTCTTATGCCAACTCACACAAGATCTCATTGATCACGCTTTTGATCTCAATCGATTAACATGTCTGCGCATCTCTTCGACGTCAAAGAGCACAAAGTCGCCGGCTGCCATATCCGCGAGTATCCCGGCTCGACGGTCGACCAGGAGGATGTGCTGTACCTGCATGTGAAGCAGTACGTCCCGCATGAAGCGCAAACGCCGCGCTCTCCGACGACGAACCCAGCGAGAGATGCGGTGACGTTTATTGCGGCGCATGCGGGCGGGATGCCAAAGGTGAGGAAACGCAGGAAAATGAACCTAGATATCGCGCTCTGCGCGGTTTGCCGAGGTTAATGTTTGTTGTTGTTGTTGTTGTTGTTGTTGTTGTTGTTGTTGTTGTTGTTGTTGTTGTTGTTGTTGTTGTTGTTGTTGTTGTTGTTGACGTTGGTGTGTTATAGGAGGTGTATGAGCCGCTTTGGGACGAGATGCTGCTGCGGTCGAAGGAGCATGGGTTTGCGATACGGGGGATCTGGATTGCGGATGTGAGCAATCATGGGATGAGTGGGGTGTTGAATGAGGGGAAGAATAGCACGGATTGTGAGTGAGATGGGAGATGTCAGAGGGGGTTGGAAGACGTGGTGCTAATCTGAGATTGTACAGATTCGTGGATGGACCATGTGCGCGACTTGCTGCTTGTTGTCAATGAGTTTAGGCATGAGATGCCGAGACCGTTGGTGGGGATTGGGCATAGCTTTGGGGGGAATCAGATGTATGTGTTTGTTTACTTTGTCCTTGGTTCATGTGTTTCCGCGCTTGATTACTTTTCCGTGACTTTCTTATCTTATCAAAACTTGCAACTCTTCTTCTTCTCAATCTCTCTCTCTCTCTCCTCTATATGTCTCCAAACCACTCCCTGATTCATCCCCACGAACATCTATCTCATCGCCCCCCTTCCCCACCCACAAAACTGACTCCCTCCCAGCGTCAACCTCGCCCTCATCCACCCCCGCCTCTTCACCACCCTCCTCCTCCTCGACCCCGTCCTCCAACACCGCCAGCCCTACATGGGCTTCGCCTGCACACCCCCCGGCGTAACAAACTGGGCCCTCCACAAACCAGACCTCTTCCCCTCCCGCTCCGCCGCCATCGCCACCCTCTCCACCCAACCCCCCTTCACCCGCCTCGACCCCCGCGTCCTCACCCTCTACCTCGCCCACGCCCTCCGCCCCCTCCCCACCCCCCTCTACCCCTCCATCCCCGCCGCCCTCGCCTCCCTCGGCCTCGCAGACACACACTACTCCCCGCACGACCCCCCCGTAACATACACCACCACCCGCACATCCGAGCTCCTCACCCTCAACAGACAAAACTTCGCCGCCGCAAAGGGCCGCTGGAATCGAACCACACACCCCGACCTCGATCTCCTCTCCAACGGCTGGGCAGGCAGTCCCGACCGCATAACACACCCGGACCCCGATACCCCACCCCCTATCTTCCCCATGTACCGCCCCGAAGCAGGCCTCACGCACGCCCGTCTGCCGCAGCTGCGCCCGTCCGCGTTCTTCCTGCTTGGGCGGCGGACGTGGCTTGCGCTGGACGAGCTGCGTGCGGGGATCGCGAGTTGTGGGACTGGGGTTGGGGGCAGTGGAGGGGTGGGGGCGGGGAGGGTGGAGTCGGTTGTGCTGGAGGGGCAGGGGCATTTTTTTCCGTTGGAGGTGGTGGGGGAGTGTGCGGGGAGGTGTGCTGGGTGGGTGGGGAGGGAGATGGAGAGGTGGAGGGGGGAGGAGAGGGCGTGGGTGGAGGGGCGGAAGGGGGTGGATCATGGGAGGTTGGAGGGGGAGTGGTTTGAGGTTATTAGGCCTCCGGGGAGTTTTGGGAGGGGGGCGAAGGGGGGCGCGAAGATGTAGATTGGGGGTGGAGGGGGTGTGGGTGTGGGTGTATAGATGTGTGAGGTTCGTGGGTGGTCGGAGGTTTGTTTATAGTTGTATAGTGTTGGATATTAGACGGTCTGGCATCGTGTACTATGGCATGCTTTGTGTGGTCTTGGCTACGACAATCACGAAGCGTCCAAGACAGTGAGCATGCCTTTCCGCCACGCAGCATCTCAAATAACCATCATCATCGCGAGCTCATGTCCTCCTGAGATCCGCACTTTGTCTCTGTTTTTCTTATTCTCACCAGACGTGAGCATATACAATCGGATACCATCCAAGGTCCTAGATTAGGATTATATAATTAGTCACCCTAAGGGTATAGGTTGGGTTCATAATCTATGCTAAGAGATAAAGATTAATTATGTTGGATTAAATGAAGTAGGGTATATACCCAAGGGGCCTTACTTAGGTATTTATTTCTACTTGAGGCCTAAACTTAAGCCTTAGACTTTAATATTCAGGCCTTGATAATGCCTAACGAAGTGTCTTGGCTATACTTCGGTATGTACTCTACTCTATTTAATCTATTAAAATCTATCCAACCGATTAGTATTAAATTATACCGTCTAAGTTGCTAAGTAATTATGTAGTTAATAATTTAGCCGAAGTAACCCCCGGCAGCCTTCTATCATCCGCCTCTTATTCTCATCTCTCTCTCTCTGTCTATCTCTCTCTATAATATGTGTTTTTAACTAATTCTGACCTCTTGGGCTTCAGAACAACGTTTATACACGTGTTCTTTGACCGATTTTGACTAATTCTAACCTTATAGGCTACGGATATACACGTGCTTCAAGCTTATTCTATATCACTTAGTAAGATGGCTTAGATATAAGGTATAATAGGCGATTCGTATGATACACATGATACAACTGGACGCTTGCGAAACCCTCCTTAGGCTTGGCTCGAGGATGCTCTCGCAATGACCCGCCTTTATCCATCTTCCCATAGACTTCTCCAGCTCCGCAGCCTACCCACGCAATTCTCTCGGCCATGTCTCTGCCATCCCCGCAGCTTTGCCAGTCCTTTGCGACGACGACGATCATCACTACAGAGAATGGCTTCCTCACTCCAGCCTTCTTCGCAACCTTTAGAATTCCCTAGTTCAGGGTTCAAGGTGATAGCACCGTCGACTCCAGTGGAAGAAGAATCGATCCCGAACTACAAGGCGCAGAGATATTATCCAGTTCGTATCGGAGAAGTCTTCAATCAGAGATACCAGGTCGTAGCGAAGCTAGGCTACGGCTCAAGCTCGACTGTTTGGCTTTGCCGCGATCTTGGGTACGAAGGACTCGGGCTTTTATGTTTTTTTTTTTCGGGGCTGATCCATGTTTCCATAGGGAGCGCCGATACATTGCCTTGAAAGTATACGTAAATAGCTCCAAGGTCCATCGAGAGCTTCCAATCTACCAGCGTATCAATCAAACCCAGTCCAATCACTCCGGTCGAGCATGTATCCGCATGCTTCTCGACTCATTTGAGATTCGTGGACCAGACGGGAAACATATCTGTCTAGTCCACCAGCCGCTAGGAATGAGCCTACACGACCTCAAAATGCGGGCTCGGGGCAAAGTCTTCAGCAAAGAAGTATTACGAATCTCGATTCGCCAACTTTTAGTTGCCTTGGACTTTCTTCATAGGGATGCACATATCATACATACTGGTGATTTTCAGAGCGCGTTCCGTAGCTTTGGCCCAGCACGGCTAACTCGTCTCTGTTAGACTTGCAGCCGAGCAATTTACTGATGGGTATCGATGATGAGAGTTTCTTTGCCCAGTACGAACAGAACGAACTCGATGACCCGAGCCCCCGGAAATCTCTCGATGGCCGCACTATATACCTCTCGCGGCCACTTCCGCTTTCCTTTGGACCTCCAGTGCTCTGCGATTTCGGCGAGGCTCGATTTGGCGAAGGAGTCCATCGCGACGATATCATGCCCGATGTGTATCGAGCTCCCGAAGTTATCCTAGGCATGAAATGGAGCTATTCGGTTGATATTTGGAATGCTGCTATGGTTGTAGGTTATTCATCTCGAATATCTATTTTTTTTTGGTTACTACAAAGTAGACTGAGATAAGAACAGGTTTGGGATCTTTTCGAACATAGTCAGCTTTTCACTGGGAGACGCTCGGATGGAAAATATGACGATGGGAACCATCTCGCAGAAATGATCGCAATCCTCGGTCCCCCGCCCCCTGGATTCCTCGCTCGCACGGAGAACAGCCTGCGGTACTGGGATGAGAATGGTAAGTAGACTGGCAAAGAGTCTCTTGTGCTGAGAGACAAAAGGATTCTATAGCTAATGAAATACCCCTTTTCCCAGGCAAATGGAGAGACCTCATTCCCATTCCCAACGCCAACCTCGAACGGCTCGAACAAAGACTGGTCGATGGGGATAAAGACGGATTCTTGCAGTTTGTGCGGAAGATGCTTACCTGGATTCCGGAGGAAAGGCCTTCTGCGGAGGAGCTCATCTTTGATCCGTGGTTGATGGAAGGGCTGTTTGATTCGTAGTTGGGCTCTCGGCTGGGAACGCACGGAATTCCACGACTTGGACCGTCGTTTTGGATGGAAGCGAGAAGGTCGTTATGTACTTAGCTTGTTGGTGTGAATTATGCATTCATTCAATTTGAAGCCCTGGAGCTTAACAAAGCCCGTACGCGAGATTTTTTGATCCTGCAAAGGATTCAGGCTGTCCTAGCTATTCTACCTACTACTTCACGACCAGACCAGAATGCACCAACCGATCCGACAGCAAAAGAGAAAAAAAAGTTAAAAGGAAAACCCTCGCACTCAAGCTCGATCACACACTACATGCAACCCAGCGGTCCTTCCTTAAAGTCATTTCGCAATTCCTCAATCGCGATAACTAACCAGTATACAAAGAACCCTTAGAAAATAGACCAGGCAAACCCTTAAATACCTTTAGCAGGTAGCAAATTCTATCCAAGCCCTACATTCCATCTAATAAGTAACTACCAGATATACACAAACCCTTTGGAAGTTAAACTTAATACACTCCTAGGTACCTATCAAATATGGTACATTCGCGTGAAACTTTACACTCTACATGATATATAACTACCACGTAACGTCTTGATGATACTTGACCATCTGCTGTAGTACGGATTCTTTCGCGTAGAACTTGCATTTGCAGTACGCCGTCCGGGGCATAACCCGCTGAAGGTGCTCCTACGCGACGCCAAATGCGAGGCGTTCGCTATGGCGTACATCGACGATATTCCCGTGTTTAGTGGGGAACTTGACGAGCATCTTAGCCACCTGCAGCAGGTATTCTCGGCTCCGTTTGGGAAGGATCTCGGTCAAACAAGGTTTGCACCGGAAATCTATAGAATGGTTAGAGTCTAGCTAGTTTTCTATAGGTGCATATATGTTAAATCGTAAAAGTCTCTACTGGCTACGTAAGATGAGAGTTACTAGAGTTGGTCTATCGTCGGTTATATACATCAGTAGAGCTGTAATTGATTGTTATAAAAGAGTAAAACAGGGCAAGCCTCTACTGGCTATCCAAAATATACAGCTTCTCCAGCGAGGGCGAGCATGAAACCGCAGATACCTTACCCGTTTCACGATTAGCATATGATGTGCAAACACCGTAACACGGTACCAGCTACCCTCATCCCTACCTTCACACCTAGACATCACACTCAACACCCATCAAGCCACCACAAAAAGTCACATTCACAAGCACACACGCACCCATTCACACACCAAATCCACGTCAAATTTCCACACACCACCCCCGATCTAAACACCGCCATCCTCAGACAGCTACACAACCTCCCCACTTCCCCCCCGGACAAGAAACCCACACCACCCCCTCCCGACACTACATATTCCTCCGCGCCCGCACCGCCGCCGCCCTCTCCCTCGCCTCCTCCCTCTCCCTCTTCCCCTTGATGCGCTCATTGATATGATGCTGCGCGAGAGTGGGCAAGTGCTTGCGCGCCGTATTGGCGCTAGTGACGTCTTGCTCCGCTGAAGGAGAGCAGACGGCCCTGGTGTATGTTATCAGCATGTGAGAGATTGGAAAGGGGGGGGTGGGGAAGTGGGAGTTCAACTAACGACGTTGTGCGTACACGGGGGACAGGGTCATGTGTATCCATGGATACGTCTCCGGAGGGGGAGGATGCGAGGGTGCGCATGCGGGCTGTTGGGGCGGTGGTGGTGGACTTGGGGGTTGGACCGCGGGATTGCGGGAGAGGGGGACCCATGGGGGAGGCGGACGGGGCACGCAGGTGTTTGGGCTTGGTCTTGGGGGTGGAGGGCGCGGCGGGGACGAAGAGGGGTTGGTCGTCGCTTGCGTCGCTCATGGTTTTGCTGGGGGTGCGGTGGTGGCGGCTGGGTGGGCGGGTGGAGGGTGGAGGAGAGGCGATGGGCTCGGAGGGCTGGAAGACGAAGGTGAAGTCGCCGAGGGCGCCGACGCAGGAGATTTCGATGAAGCCGCCGGGGCGGACGGTGAGCTCGAAGCAGCCTTGCTTGTAGCTTTTTGCTTCGGAGGTGGCCGTGTCCCACTGGAGGGAGACGTGGTCGCCGGAGGGATCTTTGTAGGAGATCTTCACCTTGGCGGCATCGATGGTGAGGGTCAAGCCCGGGAAGTTGAAGACTTCGGGCATGGTTGCGGTTGGGTGATGGGAGATGTGAGGTAGTGATGGAGGTTCTGTGAGGATGTCTGAAGATTCAGGAACAGAAAGGAGCAGTGACTTTTGCTGAAATATCGATAGTCTGAGATCTTCGTGGTGACTTGCAAAGAGAAGTAGACAGTGAGCTATCCCGTACAGGATGGAAGGTCAATTGACGAACTGGACAGGCGTACAAGAGTGGTACTGAACGTGAGAATCGAAAATGCTTGTGTGCTTGAAGAAAGTAAGACGCGTAGGAGTTCGTGGTCAAGAGGCGGTGGAAAGTAAACAATGCAAACAGAAAAAAAGCACGGCCCACGATCACGAGAAAAGATCAATTAAGCCTAGTCTCATAGAAGATATTCTCGTAGCCAATAGGCAGCAAAGACAATTTGAGCTGGCCAGTGTCGTCATATCTGTAAGAAAGTGAACTGCATGAGAAGTGAACAACTTGCGAACGCTACTTGAGCACCTTCCGTACTTGAAGGCGCCCGACGTGTGTGATATGGTATACAGGTGGCTAGTCAAACCAATTGCTATCGCACATCAGATGGAAACATTCAGTGACCGTATAAGCTCTGTCTGTTTATGTTTTGAAGGGAATACAACCACTAAGACAGACACTTGAGGTTTAGTCGACGCCTCGAAAAGAAATCAAACAGGCATGGACCGAAACATTCGAAACAACATAGAATCCTGTGACTTGGCCACTTCCCACAGTACTCGACCAGCTGATCGCTCACTGGTCCTACATTTCCTTGAGCAGCTTCAAGGCAGCCTTGACGGTATCATCGAACCATAGCCACCACTCAGCGTTGTGGACACACTCTCCCGGGACAGCTTCGAGGAACCCTTGCACCTCGCGTGTCCAGAACGAGAACTTCTTCTTCTTCCCTCCATCTACGTCCTTGAGCAAGATAGTACGTGAGCCAGGCGTTCCTGGTATGTGCTCGAACTCAGCTGTCGTAGACTGTCAGAAAGATATGCAGAAAGTATACGGACAGTCAGGACTGGTAGATGGGACTTACATAGTCTAGTCAGAGTCCACTCTTCCAACATAAGTCCTCCCTCGGGCTTACACGCAAAAGTCATCTTAGCGGTATTTGCAGGGTCGATGCTGAGGAATCCTGCCATTGGATTGCCGTTCCGCGATATCTTTCTGACATACAACCCTGAACCGTGGGGAAAGTCTCCATGAGACTTGTATGATACAGGTTCCTGGCTTTTTCTCGTCTTTTCCAGACTCAGACCTTTCATGTTCAGCTTCTGTATTGTAGGGGTGGGCGTGAGCTGGCGCTCGTCAATCAATGTGGACTGGCTGTCTGGCGTACTGCAAGTTGCTAGCTTTGGCACGAGAGCCTTTCGTTCGTTGGACGCAGGTGTGATACCTGTAGCGCTCGCTGGCTGCATGGCGAAGCAGCTTCTCAGATGCATATCGAATGCCGAACTCGCGATACTGGACCCGCATTTCGGGCATATGGGACGGCAGCTCGTCAGATCCGGCGACGAAACAGACGTGGGATGGACAATTCCGTGATCTTTACGCGTCTGCGACGGATTCGATGTCTTGGGTTTCGCGTTTGTCGTGCACGTTACGACGCTTGGTGTCAGTGGCGGGCCTTGTTTCTTGGAAGCTGGAACTGGAACTGGAACTGGAGCTGGAGCTGGAGCTGGCGCTGGCGCTGGCGGCTTGATGCTAACCTCAAACCGTCTCCCTGCTGGTCCTACCCATACTGCTTGTATGTCACCTCCACGGAGAATACTCAGCGAGAAGTTCCCAGCCTGAATGCCTCTGAGCTCTGTTGTGGTATAAGCAGTGCGAAAGATTCGCATACCGCCCGTTGGGGAATACCACCAGGCATTGACCTCCTTATCATCCACCGTCAGTTCTAGGTCCGGAAAGATGTATTTATCTGACTCAGGCATGATTGCTTGACTGCCGTTGAGGGAACGAGACGGTGTAAGGGAGGCGATCGCTCGGTGGACGTTGTGAACTTGGCGATGCCCGGAGACGTCGGGATGGCAGGTCAAAGCTGTAAAACGACGTCAACTAGGGCCATCTCAGACTTTGGATGCAGAAAAATTGGCGGAAACTCAATCACAGAAAAATTGCGAGAATTGAAGCAGCGTGAGAATGAGAAATGGCAGTCAGAATAAGTGGGGACTAGCGGTAGTGTGAACAATGCAAACCTACCCACCTCGCAATTCTGCAGGTACCTGTGTATAAGAGAAAAACCTTCTGTGACCCATTTTGACTAGAAGGTAGGTAAGAAAGACTTTGCTAGGCTCATATGCCGCTTTCTGAGGCCCAAACATGATGCTCTTAGCAACAGCGTTCAAAAAGACAAGAATGAAAGATTGACAAACAATCAAGACAGCCCAGACATGCAACATACCTCAAACAGTCGAACCTGAGATTAGAAATCCAGAGACAAACTTCATGTAACAGGGACAAGAACGATCCAAATACTCGGCGCTTCGCAACATCAGTAGTCGAGAGCCACCAAAGACTTCAACCCACGACACCCTCAAGCAGCACGCCTCTCAAGCCCGAAGCACCTCAATAGCACACCGAACAGCAGCAACAAACACCACAAGCCCTCTAACATACTCCCCACACGGCCTCGGCAGAAACATAGCATCCCCATACGCATCCTCCGAAGAGCCGACCTCAAGTCTGAGAAGCGTGCCTCCAGGGTACACGCGTCGGAACTCCCAGATGCGGGAGCTCAGAGAAGCGGTCAAGCTGCTATACATAGCTACAGTATTTCGACGTCGTGGTGAGTATCAAATCAACAAAGCTCTGAACGAAAAGAAAAGAAAAGGGGTGGGGTCAAGACGGACGATTCCAACATTGCTCAGTTGAGATCCCCCAAGTCTCGACGATGATGAACGTGCGTGTTGAATGCTGTGAGAAAGACGATCCAGGAATCGGTGACGAGAAGATGAAGGGAAAGATAGAGACGCGAAGATGAGAGAGCATGGAAATGGGTACGAAAAAGTGGTAGGGAACGTAAATGGATGCAAGCAGGGGATGTACAAACAGTAAGCGAAGTTGAACATTCAGTAGTGAATAAGTAAGGGCCTCCTTGGCATCGCCACAGTTGGCCGAAACCGCATCGAGGGACAGCTGCAACTCTGTGAACCTAGCTGATCTCTTCATATCATTCAGATCCCTACAATCTAGTCAAGCTGACCCCATAGCAGTATTCCCTCACCATACAAACCCACCGCAAAGCCCCGCCCAAAAGCCTTGTCCCTCACCGCCGTACAGGCACTCTCGAATTCATGCCCGACATACAGGTCCTTCAAGCCTTCTTGCTCCGTCCACTCTTGGATCCAGCTGCCTGCCTTGACATCCAAGCACTCCGGGTCATCTCTTCGAGCAGCACACGCGACCTTCTGTTCAAGACTAGGAAGATGCGGATGTCCGGCGAGAATCAGCGCTCCCGAATCATCGACACTCAGGTTGTCTACGAAATGCTTCGTTCGGACAGTACGTTTGTGGCTCAGCTCGTTAGTGGTGGAATTACGCTCGTAAAAGTAGATACCAGTTTTTGTGGTTGAAGCCACTGCGACATGTGTCGAATTCAGGAGTACGACACCATTGGCGAACGGAACACGAGCAACGGAACGCACCTCGTTTGTGGCGAAATTGACGTAAAAAACACCTCCGAGGGGCAAGCCGACCAGAGTCTCGATGGTCTGAAGGACGTGATGATTCTCGTGGCCGAAGTACTGGCAATTGGTGATGTAAGTTTCGTGGTCGCTGATGGCCGCGAGGTTGTTGGGCGTGTTCAACGAGGGATGCGAAAGGATCGTTTATGAGTCGCCGTTGGCTCCTCTGCCGTGAGATCCAACGAGAAAATCTCGAGCCGCTTGCCAGTGGAAAGATTGTTAATCACGAATAGTGTCTTACTCTCCTCATGATACTCGATACCCAACGGATGGAATTCCCCTCCGGTTTCTGGATAATCAACCAACTCAATGTCCACGTGGCTCGCCATGTTGCGGCCCTTATACATGTATCGAACGAGATGGCCAGGTGGGCCTTTCTTTGGGTCGTCGAAAACATTCTGCTTCTTGTTAGCAGACTATGCTACGACGTTCACCAGACCGGCGACATATGAAGCACATTCCATTATTGGATTCCAATGGTCCCTCCCTGGGTCACAGCTCAGTATCCCAAACCCAACACTCCGGACCATGACCGCATCCTCGCAGTTCTTAAGCTCCTTCAGCGGGTATACATATCGATGAGGCTGCACGATAGCAAGCTTCGAAGGCGCATTCGCTATGAAGGTATTGATCACAGGGAGTCGATCGAGTCCGAAAGCTGCAAAGGCTACAAACACTGCGACGTTCTGTAGAAGTATATGTTAGCATTGGGCTGGAGCTCCGGGAAGCTAACTACGTACAAGTACTTTGCCAAGCATGCTGGCGGTTGAAGCTCAGTCAAGCTGTCGCAAGAATATCGGTCCAATGGTGAAGGAAGAGAGTGTTCTTGGAGGTCGTCAAGCTCTGTCGAGTATCGTCATTCGGTGGTAGTGGTGATATGAATCATATTATCATACGACCGCATTCCAAAGAGGCCTGCATGATGCATAAAGCATGAAGGCCTCGGCCAAACCTTAGAACGGTGGGGTAATTAGCTCCAGTTTTTGAATCCGGCGTTGGGACGGATCCGCTGGGGACATCCATGAAACCTACATGCTCCATGTGCTCTGATGCCGAATGTTCGGTGTTATGTTGGCGTGCGCATGGATGTAGACGCGATGGCAATCGTAGTGGTGGAGAACAGAGAGCTGTAGGTGCTTGTCTGAAACAACTCACAAAAGCTGTCACGTGATTACAGGGATTGCAGACCATAAACTAAACATTCCTCCACGATGACTTGAGATTTGATTGTGATATGCAAAGAGTTTGATGGTTGAAAATGCCTTCTGTGAGGGTTTCATGGAAGATATATCTTAATCCCATCATTTCTCATCCTAGTCCACCAAATAGCCGACATTGACTCCCAACCAACTCTTCCAAGGGTGACATCCACTCTGAAAGGGCGAGTGTTGAATGCGAGCAAGGCAGTCTGCATAAATCTACGGCACTGTAACCTCATTAGATCCAACAACAAGCATTTTGTCCTCCTTAACGGCTAGGAGATCACTTCCTATCACATTGCTGTTAGACTCGTCTGTGCCCTGGTTGCCAGATCGTGACATTGCACTAAAGAATGCTTGAACTCTGATCCGTAGTTGGAACCAGTAGTCAGAATCAAAACTGTCCCTGTCTTCCTGAGAAAAAGACTCGTCCGGTGAGGACTGCTGGGCATGGAAGAGGTAGCAGCCTGAGAGTCCGGACGTGATCAGTAAGATACGAAAGGCGGCAGCACCTGGAGGTTGCAATGCTTTCAGCCACTCCTTGATCGTTTGAATGAGTCTGGGCCAAAGGATCGCGGATTCTTTGTGATAGTCGCGGCGATGAAAACAAGAGGGAGTAAATATATAGAGTTATCCAGGCCCAGACCCAGGGTTCAGCCACAAGTGTCTCGTGGCGTTGTGGCGGTAGTGTAGTAGTCTACGGCAGACAATATATAGCAGAGGACACCTCTCGCAGCGCAAAATAAGAAGACGACAATGAAATCTAGTTAGCTCTCAATTATATCTCTTCTCTATCAAGCTAATGTCTACGGTATTGACCCATTTCAACTAGCTACATGTACATCTTCTACCTGATCATCTAGATGACAACTCTTCGTATGTGTATCTAACGCGCATGCAGCTTGTCGTCTGCCGTAGTGATTGCGCTATCCGCTAGCTTTTGACCCTTTTGACCCTTTTGACCCTGAAACAAACACGGACCATTTCACTTTTGCGCAACTAAACACCAAGACATGAGACATCTCGTCATCTACAACCCCTTCAAGCCTGCCCTCACAGGCTTGATGCCTCCACAATAACGTTTAAACAATGCGCAAATACTCTTGACTCTTGTCCTCCGCTTCGACTCCCCATATCCTTCCCTTGCAACGCTCTCCCTGGACTCCGCACGCGCTTGTATATCACCCACCGACACCTCCGAACCGTCTAGACACTCCGCGATCCGATACTCAACTGCGATTTGCAGTAGACAGACCTACGCGCATCAATGGCGTCCGTGTTACCGCATCAGGTTGCAACTGGTGGCGATGGCACCGAGACCGGCCGCCGACATTCTTCTTCCATCTCCTCCTCGCGATCACCCTCTGCCTTGTCGATACGTACGGCCAATCGCGCAGGGCGTCCTACGAAGAACACTCCCGTGCGGCGATCGGATGACTCGACTTCTCAAATACCATCGAGACGCTCTTCCATGTCTTCACCGTTGCAACCCGCACCGCACACTGCCCAGTTGTCCATACCCAGCAATCACTACCATACCCAGAGAGTCAGGTCACAGTATCCCTCAGATGCTTCGGAAAATCATGTGGAGTACATACTGGTTGCCAGTTTTGACATTGATCGCGGATCAATCATGGAGCACCAGTACCCTGGGCCTGTCGGTGGAGACGAGACTATGCTGGCGGAGCTGATGCTACCAGATCAAGCACACGTTAGGAGTCAGGATTGGACCATTTTCTTTCTTCACAAGGACAACTCGGCAGAAGAGGAGGCAAAGGAAGAACGACTAGCAAGGAGGGAGCGACGGAGGAGGAGGGACCGTATAAGAGAAGCACTGGAAAAGGGAGACCCCGTTCCCGAGGAAGAGCTCCAATATGCAGATGACGACATTGATGAAATGAGTGATGATGACGACGATGATGACCCTTCTGAAGACGACGACGATAGTCTAGAGGGGCCGCCCTTGATATACGTCTTGAATTTGGTAAATACAAAACAAGACAACACCGTCAAGAGGTGAGGATGCTGAAGTTGAATTGGACCGGGAAAAGTGCTTACAATGACTCAGAGGAGCTGTCGTCAAAGCTATGGCGATATGCACAAGACATTCTTTTCTTCATATCTACAAGGTTTGGATCACACCTCAAGCGCGAAAGTTTCGAGCAGAAAATAACTCCGTTAGCCTCTCCTACTCCTTGCACTCGAAGAGTATTTCCGCTCTCCTCACCCCGAAAGCCTTGCATCCCTGTACAATGCTCTCAACTCAATGGATCTGTCGCTCTTGCCGCGGTTATCTCTTCTAGAGCGATTTGTCCTCCAGGCAAGTGGCGCGAAAGACATGTTCATTGAAAAGTTCGAGGCCTTGATGAGACAGCGCATGGAGGAAGACGCCCGTGCTGGCGCTGTTGGATCCCCTGATCTTGGTCCAACCTCGAGCGCTCGAATGAAACCTCGCTACGCTCTGCCACGAGATACCCATGAGTTTGAGTCACGAATCAACTACAATGGCATACCAATTCCTGTTAAGATTCCTACCGCAATATCACCCGAGACGGTGGGCGACTTCTCCCTCATAAAGCTTATTCAGACCTTTTCGGGCCCGCATTCGTCTTCACCCCAGCCATTTGCTCTACATCCTCACCTCACAACTGGTGGCTCATACACCCATCCCATCATTGTCCTTGTAAATGCCCTTCTTACGCAAAAACGAATCATCTTTCTTGGTCACAACATGCCTTCCGGCGAAGTCGCGGAGGCTGTTCTTGCAGCTTGTGCACTGGCGTCTGGTGGGATGCTGAGAGGGTTTACACGTCATGCTTTTCCCTATACTGATCTCACGAAGATTGACGATCTGCTCAAGGTCCCAGGTTTCATTGCTGGCGTGACGAATCCAGCATTTGCAGGTAAAACCGAGTGGTGGGACTTGCTCTGCGATCTTCCGACCGGCCGAATGAAAATCAGCTCCAAGATCGAAGCAGCCCCTATCACAGAAGGCCTTCTCTACTTCCAACAGCAACAAAACCAACCAAACAACCCCCTTTCCTCTCTCAACCTCGGTGCTCTCACCGGGTCAGGCAATAGCCGTGACGGCGACATCACAGGCGACAACGCCTTCATGGACTCGCTCCTCTCCAGCATCGCGAATCGCCACGGCGAAGCCGCCATCCGCAGCCGCTGGCGCGAATGGGTTCTCAAATTCACACGCCTCTCATCCGCCTTTGAAGAATGCGTCTACGGCGCCTCCGCGCTGTACTTCGGCACCCCCAAAGACGCAAGCATGTACGGCGTCCACGGCCACGGTTACGTCTGGCCCGACGAAGCATCCCGCCTCCGCGAACTCGCCGCCAACGTCCACCGCATCGAAGCCTGGCGCACAACCCGCAGCTACTTCTCCTTCATCCAAGACATCACCCAGATCTGGACCAAGCGGCCCGTCCAAGGCATCGACTTCCAGCACCAGCACGACCGCCTCCGCACCCAGCGCCTCAGCCCAGACACCAGCGCAGCTATCTACCTCGCGCTCGCCCGCGCCGTCGAAGACGCTGCCTACGGCTTCCATACCAACAACACCATCACCACCCCCGCCACCGCCACCGCCACCGATTCCTCCCCCACCACAGACGCAGCCCTCTCCCTCACCACAACCCTGACAAACACCTCCATCCCCATCCCCGACTCCGCTTCCGCCTCCCTCGCCCCCGGAACCCCACACCCGCTCTTCCCTCCTCCCCTCAAACTCCCCGCTACTCACCCACACCTCCAATACAACACCATCCTCCAGCTCCTCGCCGTCCTCCCCGAGTCCAACACCGGCCTCTTCTACCTCTCCCTCGGCCTCTTCCACCCTAAACATGCTGTCCGTGAAGCGGTTGTCAGGCTGCTTGATCGTGTGCGCGAACATGCCGCTGGCCGTCATTATTGGGCTTGTTTGGGCAGGTTTGCGAAGTTGGCGTTTTATCGGATTAAGAGGGAGGAGGGTGGGGGTGGGAAGTAGGGGGTTTGATGGGGTGATAGGGATAGGGGGGTGGAGGGAAGGGAGGGCAGGGAAGGGAAGGGAGGGATGGGCAGGTATGGGCGGGGGATTTTGGGGGTGGGTGGAGGTGGGATTAGAAAATCTGCTTTTGTGTGTTACATACCCTTTGCGCGCTGTTGTTGTTGATGTTGTTGTAGATGTAGATAGATGGATGGATAGATAGACAGGGAAAGGAGATGGAGAGGGACGGGGGAGTACGGGGGAGCAGCGAGAGAGAGTAGGAAGCGGAGGAACTCTGCTACATCTCGTATAAGCGGTCGCGAGATACCCGGTCTTCAATGTATTACCCTCCCCCGAAAGCACGTTGTTGATGTTTTATATCCCCATGCCATGCCATACCATGCTGCGTCCGCTGATGGGTTTCGATGGAGTGATGGAGTGATGGTTTGATGTGAGTGATATGAATGATCTGAATGATATGCTATGCCACAAACCCGCGCTACATGATATGACATCCCATCCCATCCCATCCCATTCCACGCCACGAACACGAAGACGACGCCCACCCATAAACCGTCAAACCCCACAGAACCCACAGCGCGTGACAGGCAGGCGATATCATATATATATACGTCCCATACATCCGCCACGCACATAGTAGCCGCTAGCACTCGTAGCATATTGTGGCGGTGCCTGAATTTGCAAACCCTTATTTTTGGCAGGGGTTTTCACCCGCCGTCGTAATGCGCACTGTTTACTAAAGATTGTCGATGTGATTGTTGTTTTTCCTCTTGTCTTGTTCTCTCTGTCCGATTCTTTCTTGTTCTCTCTCTCTGTCTGTCTGTCTGTCTGTCTGTCTGTCTGTCTGTCTGTCTGTCTGTCTGTCTGTCTGTCTGTCTGTCTGTCTGTCTGTCTGTCTGTCTGTCT